CAACGATACTGCTTCTGTCCCAAGAGGCAGACAGACAGAACGCCCTGCCGTCGAAAGTCCTCACGACAGAGAGGCTTGTCTTTTCAGCGACGATTAAGAGATGGAGAGGGGTGTGGGCACATTACCTTTACGTTGCTACTTTCTTCTGGTCTAGTTTCACTAGCTACGTATGCGCAAGCTGCCTTACTCAACCTAATATTATTTCAACACCATAATAACTTCTGTTACTTGCTGAAACATTTTACCTGTAGGTACGTAGCTATATTATCGCTAGTAATGATGATGGTTGTATGATTATACTTCAGTTCTCGCTCCGCTCGCCCAGAGAATGGCAAGCATTTCCACTAGTATTTACATGTCAATCTACGTCAACTGCACTAGTTGAGCGCGTGCTTAACACGCTTGCGCATGCGCGGTCGCTTTTTGCGCATGCGTAGTGTATAACACGCGCGCTCGTCGTCATTAGTTCACTTCGCCAGTTTCTTGTGTTTTTGCATGGTAGATAGTCAAGAAGACTCGCTGCACTAATGCAAGGAGATTGTATCCCTGCAAAAGCAGGAAATGATAACAGGGCATCGCTGGTAAGTCCAGATCCGACTATATACTAATTAGCTACCACCATTCTTCCTATGTTCCAACACATTATTCCGCAGCATCTCGGCCCCTGCTATGTACAGCAGGAGACTAGTGTTGTACTCACGGCATCCATACTCGTAAACACCTCCAGTGTTACTGTATATATACTGACCTTCCCCCCTTGCAGCGGATCAACGGTGAGCGTGTCCGTGGAGACGTCGACAATGAGTCCCAGCTTGTAGCCCTCATCGGGATGAGGCGCCCACACTCTCTGCCCGCCATCCATTGCCCCTTCTACTCCCTGGAGCTGTTCCTTGATCGCCGCCCAACACCCCGCGCTCTCTAATTAGGGATGCGCACGCAAATATCACGCATGCGCAAACTTGACGGCGGCTCCGCTTTTACGCATGCGCATACACGTGGCCTATATACACATTCTGACGTGGTCCAGATGCTAAGCTGAAAGAGGCCACTCAATTACAAGTTCTAGACTAAACCGTATATTTTCTGTCACCTAACTCATTTCCTCTCGTCATTTTTATTTCTCGCTATAGCTCTGTATGCCAATGCCCTACGGGTCGTGCTTATGAAACTTACGAAACTTATGGGTAGGCGGAGGGCTAGAGAGAGAGACAAATACAGAGGGAAGAGAGTAAAAAGTGACAGTGATACAGTCAAAGGATCTCATGGTGCCAGAAAAGACCAAGAGAAAGGTGACACATGAGTGGGGGGACTAGCTAACAGTACAATACACAGACACACACATGTAAAGTGAGGGATGGCAGATGAAAAATGGGTGGTGGACTACAAGAAAACGTGATTGGAGAAGTTTGTAGAAAGATGGACTTAAGTCTATTATAAGTTGTGATTCAGATGGTACAACATACGGACGGGGAAGAAATGACAGCGTGTCATACTTTATACAGTGGGAGGGTGGGAGAGCGAGGTTTCATCATATGTTTCGGACCGTGATCCATAATGGGTGAGGAACTTTACATTGAGGGAGAATGGGGGTATGGAGTATGGGGTGGGGGAGGAGAGAGAAACCTGAAACTCTCAGAGTATAATCTTTGGTTGTGGTTTCGACAGACTAGAAAAAGAAGTGAAGAGAGGCGACTAGATATCCCTGTGTCAAATCTGGTTGGAGTGCACTTGAGAAAATCCTGCAATTTGGAGGGAGGGGAGAAGGAGAGCACGTCATAAAAATCAAGAAAGTAAAACTAAACCGAGAGAGTAGCACCAATACCAGCTAATGAAATATTGTTCTTTGTATATAGTCCAACTTCAAACAACCCAGGGGCTATGTATTCTGAACGTGGGCTGAGGGCTGACCTGGACAGGAAGTCCTTATCACAACAACTATGTCCAGGATATCCCAGTACAGGATAGGATATCTAGTACAAGATATCTAGTACAGGATATCCAGGATATTATCCTCTACAGCATCCTGAGTACAATCCTGTACCACCTCTACCACCTCTACCACCTCGCAGCCTATACGTTAACTAATACTTAACAAACCCAGGAGAAAGGAGCACACTCTACCACAGTCCATTCCTTTGTTACTTGTATGTCACGTGAGAGAGGGAAGGGAGGGGGGAAAGAAGGAGCAAAGAGGGGGCACAAGGCAGAAGCAGGAAGGAGTGGGGAAGAGAGGAGAGGCAGAGAATAATCCATTAATCCAGGGAACCACATCAGAGGACCAGTAGAGTTGGCCCTACACTCCACCAGTGAAGCTGAGTGAGTGTGCCCTGGTTTTTGTTCTTACTCACAAGGGTGACCCGCAGAAAGAAATGTGGCTGACAGGGAATTTGGGCATATTATCAGTACACAGGGTCACCCTGTAATGCTCACCCCTCCACTTCCTACCCTGCACACTGTGGCAAAACACTAAAGTTTTCACCCACCAACAACAAACTTAATTATTGTGCCTTCCACAGAGTTTCTAAAAACAATGGCTATAGGACACACCTACCCTCCATTACTTCATTAATGTAGCTCAGAGCTCCTCTGAGAACATACTTTTTCAGGGTCTTGGTCCTACACCTATTGTGTGGGCGGTTTGCACAGAATACAGTCTACAAAGCATCAGAGAGATCAAACTTTGCTGGGCGAAGCTTTTAAAAAGCAAGTGACAAGCCAGCCAACCATTCTGAATACCTATCCTAAACTTATCGTACTTTCAATAAGCAAGTTGGGGAAAGGACAGGGAAGCAAACTGTCCTGAATACATTGACCATAGCTGGAGTGTGTAGTGCCCATACTTGCCAACCGTCCCACATTCCGCGGGACTATCCCGCAAAAATCAGTGGCGTCCCACTGTCCTGCAGCAGAGTTTTATTGTCCCGCCTCCGACAAACGCTCCGCGTCACTGCATGCGCAGGGAGTTTATCAAAAAGTGCAAGAAGATATAAAAAAGTGTGGGAATTATTCCTGCAAAATCCCTGTATTTTTGACATGTGCAGGAAGCTTCCTTAGTTGTGCTGGAAATTTCCTGCATTTTGCCGGAAATTCCTGCACATGTAGGAAATTTCCGACACATTCCCCATACATTGTGATATGGGTTTCTAATAGACAGTGTTTGTAGTGTTTTTCTATCCAGCAATTATTCTTCATGTCCTGCATTTCTGAACAAAGTGTCCAGTAAAATAAATTTACATGGTTGGCAAGTATGAGTGCCGTAGGTTGAGTATATATCCTCTGTCATCTATCTTGCAAAGATCAAGCGAAAGTAATGTCAAGACTTTTTCTTTCAGCCAAAAGTAACGTGCAGTGATCGGTCGCATCGATATTTAGTAAAATTTTCATACTACAATTTTTACAACTCGTGCCATTACAATTAATGATAACACACTCTACTTATTATTACAAACCACTACACAGGTATAAAGTTCTCTTTTTCAGTGTTCTAAGTAATCTAGCACACTACAGAGTCGTTGTGTTCCAGCTCTGCTTTAGCTACATGAAGGCAGTGTAGACTGCAAATAGAAGAGCCGACACGGTGGTGAGCAGTGTAGTGGATCCAATTCCTGCAGCACTGCTTCCACCACCATACCACACACAGCAGTGATGCTGTCTTTGTAGGTTTGTGCACCATCACCCAGACAATCATCAGCGTACTGCTCCAGTACAGACCTGCAGTTACCTTCGCAGGCCGACTGCGAAGTTGAAGCGAGATCCACGTTGCACCTGAACAGTTCGGAGTCTGCATCGGTAAATGCTGTGCAAGCTGAAGTTGGGCCAGTTGCTGGGTTGGTAGGGCTTGTACTGGGACAAAAACTGTCAATGGTGTCCTTGAAGGCTTGTGCAGCAGCTCCATAAGACAATCATCCGCGTATTGCTCCAGTACAGACCTGCAGTTTCCCTCGCAGGCTGAGTTCGAACGTTGACCAAGTTCCACGTTGCACCGGAAAAGGTCAGAGTTTGTATCTGTAAAGTCGGTGCAAATATCAGCACTGGAGAGGCTGAAGAACAGAAGAAGAAACACTCCAGAAAAAGTAAGAGCATTCATTTTTTCAACTGCAATCGAGTAGTTGGATGAGCTCGCCAAGTAAAAATGTGAGAGCTTTGCTTGCAGTTGGTTGCTTCTAGCTTGCTAGCTGGATACGGTCGGCTTTTATAGGCCTTTAGCACAAAGGGATTTCTCTAATCGGATGCCAGCATTAATTAAGTCACCAGTGTCGACATATGTAGTCTCATACCCAGACCGTCATATTGCATAACAGGTCTTGGCATGAGACTGGAGTTCACAGGAATGAACATTGTGTCATGTCATTTCAGAACTGTTGCGTAATGCACAGTTGAGAGCGTGCTAACACGCTTTCGCATGCGCGGTCACTTTTTGCGCATGCGTAGTGTACAGAACGCGTCATCGAGGTTTCGTGTTAGCAATGGTCCAGTTTCTTGTTATTACATGGTAGACAGTTCGAATACTCGCTGCAAGGAGATTGTATCCCTGCAAAAGCAGGAAATAATAACAGGGCATGATCGCCGGTAAGTCCAGATCCGACTACTAATTAGCTACCACCATTCTTGAATCCTACGTTCCAACACGCAGCATCTCGGCCCCTGCTATGCACAGTAGGAGACTAGTGTTGTACTCACGGCATCCATACTCGTAAACACGCGCCCAGTAGGTTGTACTACACACCATTCAGTGTATATTATAATACTGACCTCCCTCCCTTGCAGGGGATCCGCGGTGAGCGTGTCCGTGGAGACGTCGACAATGAGTCCCAGCTTGTAGCCCTCCTCGGGATGAGGCGCCCACACTCTTTGCCAGTCGTCCATTGCCCCTTCTACTCCCTGGAGTTTGCTTCCTTGCGCACGCATAAATACGCATGCGCAAGCTTTACGGCGGCTCCGCTTTTGCGCATGCGCATACACGCGGGTGGGCGGAGAAGGCCGGCCGGCTATATACATACCAGGGCTATGGAGCAAGCGGACAAGAAACCGAGGGTGGACAGCGGGAAAGTGGCAATCATAGGCAGGCAAGGCTCCAACTTCTAGTTGCTTCTCTTTTAGTTATGCTAGTGTGTTGCTTGTTTCTGCAGTGGTCTTATTGGGCGATGCTGGGCCACAGTAAGTGACTCATAACACCCTTTCCTTCACATAACACACACCAAGAACAATGGCAGTGTTTGGAAGTGTTCTTTAAGGAAAGCAGTTTTCTCCACATGGGATTTGCCTGTGATTTCTAGTACACAGATCATGCACGTTGAATCTACCAAGTGATGTTTGGCCAATATCCATAATGATGTAATTGAGAGCATGGAAGACCAGTTACCCCTAACTCCCAGACAGCCCTCACACCTATGATTCACATTATGAAATCAAAACAACGACCTTTAGCAAGTTAATTATGCCAAGCAAGACTCCTTCTGAGGCTGTACGCAAAAGTCACGTATATTGACTTTGCTGGATACACTCTCTCTTTTTCTGCATAATTATACTTGCTAAGTAAGAATGCTAAAAACAGAGTAGGGTGTAAGCATGCAGAAGTAGCATTAGGAAAACGATAGTCCCTAGTCTCTCACAGTTCATATAATTGTAACCAGAGTAAGCTTAGTGTTTGTGCATGAAACGTGAATTCTACGAGACTAAGAAGACACGAATTTCAGCGTGAGTGAGCTCTAAGCATGCAGAAATAATTCCATTAGGAAGTGTGAGTGAGCTTTAAGTATGCAGAAATAATTCCATTATATATATAGGGAGACTATCACACCCTCAGCCTCTCACAGTTTTGCCACCAATGATCAAATTATAACCTTAGTCTTGTGAACTGTTTGTGTGTGTATAATTTGATTATAGGGTACATACACTGGTGTTAGCCTGGCAATAAGAATAAGAGAGATCCATGTCACTGTCACTGTGTATGCAGCTGTTCCTGAGAGGAGGGTACTCGGTGATGCTGTATGATGTCATCAGTGAGCAGTTGGGCGGGGCCATGTCTGCTGTTGTCGAGAAACTGAGAGTGATGGAAAAGGAAGGCCTTCTGAGGGAAGGTAAACAGAGTAGTAGAGTAGCGGTGTACTTTTTGCACTCGTGCATCCTTACAATGCCCTCTATGTGCATGCAACTGTGCACTGTAGTAAATTAAAGTGGTGTGGAGTCTTTGATCTTGTTCAGTGCTTGTATTAGTGCTAACGAAAATGATAAGTCAACATGATGTCTTTTATTGCCCTACTCCCACACCCACTTTCACCCACTTTTGTTTTCAGTGGGGAGTCTCTGGTACTAAACAGGGCTGCATTCACAAGTGTATTTACTACAATTTTAAGTATACTGCGCCAAATTCTGACTTCTGCTTACAACTGTGGGCGGTAACAACAATTACAGCGGTTAGCTGTTTGTTGTGTATTTCATCCACCCACGAGTATATATAATCTAAGAATATAAGAATAACGTTAGAGAGGTGTGGAAGCAAGTAGTATATTGTTGCTAGAAAAGGAGCTGAAAGGCAGACAAAGGAAGCAAGGGCCAGGCTATCAGGGCCAGGGATCAGCGGTGGTATGACTTGTAGGGAAGTGGTCTACTACAGTTTGATGAGAGCATGTGGGCGGTTTGCACAGAATACAGTCTGCAGAGCACGAGGTGGGAATTTTCTATGGGTGCTTTTTGAGCTGAAGGGAGTGGTCTATTACAGTTTGATTAGAGGGTGTGGGCGTTTTGCACAGCAGTCTGCATAGCACCGACATGGACATTTTCTATAGGTCCCTTTTGAGCAGAAGGAAGTGGTCTATTACAGTTTGATTAGAGAGTGTGGGCGTTTTGCACAGCAGTCTGCATAGCACCGACATGGACATTTTCTATAGGTCCCTTTTGAGCAGAAGGAAGTGGTCTATTACAGTTTGATTAGAGGGTGTGGGCGTTTTGCACAGCAGTCTGCAGAGCACCGACATGGACATTTTCTATTGGTGCTTCAAAGCCAGAGAGAGAGAGAGGGAGGGAGGGAGGGAGGGAGGGAGAGATCAAACTTTGCTGGGCGAAGCTTTTGAAAAGCAAGTGACAGGCCAGCCAACCATTCTAAATACCTATCCTAAACTTATCGTACTTTCAATAAGCAAGTTGGGGAAAGGACAGGGAAGCAAACTGTCCTGAATACATTGACCATAGCTGTAGTGTGTAGTGCCGTAGGTTGAGTATCCTCTGTTATCTATCTTGCAAAGATCAAGCGAAAGTAATGTCAAGACTTTTTATTTCAGCCACAACAGTGGACAGAGTTGTGAATTGCATCCACCCACGAGTATATATAATCTAAGAATATAAGAATAACGTTTAGAGAGGTGTGGAAGCAAGTATATAGCATATTGCTGCTAGCTGAAAGGCAGACAAAGGAAGCAAGGGCCAGGCTATCAGGGCCAGGCTATCAGGGCCAGGGATCAGCAGTGGTATGACGTTTGTAGGGCAGAAATTGGTCTTACTACAGTTTGATGAAGAGCATGTGGGCGGTTTGCACAGAATATAGTCTACAGAGCATCAGAGAGATCAAACTTTGCTGGGCGAAGCAAGTGACAAGCCAGCCAACCATTCTAAATACCTATCCTAAACTTATCGTACTTTCAATAAGCAAGTTGGGGAAAGGACAGGGAAGCAATCTGTCCTGAATATATACATTGACCATAGCTGGAGTGTGTAGTGCCGTAGGTTGAGTATCCTCTGTCATCTATCTTGCAAAGATCAAGCGAATGTAATGTCAAGACTTTTTATTTCAGCCAAAAGTAACGTGCAGTGTTTTGCACATCGGTCGCATCGATATTTAGTAAAATTTTCATACTACAATTTTTACAACTCGTGCCATTACAATTAATGATAACACACTCTAATTATTATTACAAACCACTACACGTGTATAAAGGTCTCTTTTTCAGTGTTCTAAGTAATCTTGCACACTACAGAGTCGTTGTGTTCCAGCTCTGCTTTAGCTACATGAAGGCAGTGTAGACTGCAAATAGAAGAGCTGACACGGTGGTGAGCAGTGTAGTGGATCCAATTCCTGCAGCACTGCTTCCACCACCACACACAGCAGTGATTCCGTCTTTGTAGGCTTGTGCAGCAGCAGCTCCTCCAGTGGCATTAAGACAATCATCCGCGTATTGCTCCAGTACAGACCTGCAGTTTCCCTCGCAGGCTGAGTTCGAACGTTGACTAAGTTCCACGTTGCACCGGAAAAGGTCAGAGTTTGTATCTGTAAAGTCGGTGCAAATATCAGCACTGGAGAGGCTGAAGAACAGAAGAAGAAACACTCCAGAAAAAGTAAGAGCATTCATTTTTTTCAACTGCAATCAAGTAGCTGGATGAGCTCGCCAAGTAAAAACGTGAGAGCTTTGCTTGCAGTTGGTTGCTTCTAGCTTGCTAGCTGGATACGGTCGGTTTTTATAGGCTTTTAGCACAAAGGGATTTCTCTAATCGGATGCCAGCATTATGTCGCCAGTGTCGACATATGTAGTCTCATACCCAGACCGTCATATTGCATAACAGGTATTGGCATGAGACTGGAGTTTCAGTTCACAGGAATGAACATTTTTATATCTATGTCATAACAGTTTTATAATGCACAGTTGAGAGCGTGCAAACACGCGTGCGCATGCGCGGGCGCCCTACAGCACGCGCGCTCGCTCGTCTTCCACTGCATTAACCCTCGGCTCGGTATATACTTGTTCTGTCTGTCCGTTTGTTCGTCTGTTACCACGTTTTATGCCACCACGCGCAACAAACCGGCCAAGCGCTACACTGGCTTTATTTTTAAAATGGCGATTTTCTTTTCTCGTTCGTAAAAGTGCTGCTTTCGAAAGTCAAAGTTATGGCGTGAAACCAAGTCAAGAAGCTAATATGCTAATTATCACAGGCTTACCTCCACCAGGTCCGCTCGCTCTGTGTATCTTGAAGGCACAAGAAGGGATCAAGTATATTTCGGTTAGTAGTGCTATAGGCTAAGGCCCGGACTAGGCCTTGACGAAATTTGCTAGCATAATTTTGAGCAAAATAGGTAGCAAAGTAAATAAGCAATTCTGCTAGCAAAATGGGCTGTCAATTTTACCTATGAAGCAAAATAGGCAGCTTTGCCCTGTTCCTACCAACCACCCACGCATCGGCGCCTCTGTGCCATTTAGTGACAGGCGTTTCAATGTTTCGCACGGTAGAATACACGTTTTATTAGAGGTCTACTTTTCCCCCTCGAAATGTTCTGAGCTTAGGCCAACTGTTGTCGACATTGATAGCTTGCGAGTGTTTCCGTTTTTGGATTCGCAACCAATGATTGATGGTCTCAAGGCTGAGTTGCCTGCATACTTGGCTGCTGCGGAGGACGTATCTACAAGAAAATTGCGTACAATAAAAAGCAAAATAGGTACACTTATAAAGCAAAATAGGTAAAAATATTGAGCAAAAAAGAAAAGCAAAATAGGCAGAGAAAAAAGCAAATTTCGTCAAGGCCTAGCCCGGACCTCTAGTGAGGCGAGCCTCTCGCCCAAACATGAGGAAGAACGTAGAGTATCCCGTTGTTGTCTGGACACTTGTGTTGTAGGCCATGATTACTTCTGAAGATGCTCCTCCCAAGAGGCAGGGTGGTCATAGCGATGCTTGCCGCCCGGATAGATCATGATCGGAGCCGGACCTCGTCTAGGAGGTTTGCCTCCCGGATCGGAGCCGGACCTCATCAAGGATGCTTGCCGCCAGGATGGATAATGATCGGACCCCGACCTCGTCTAGGATGCTTGCCGCCAGGATGGATAATGATCGGACCCCGACCTCGTCTAGGATGCTTGCCGCCAGGATGGATCATGATCGGACCCCGACCTCGTCTAGGATGCTTGCCGCCCGGATGGATCATGATCGGACCCCGACCTCGCCTAGGATGCTTGCAACCCGGATGGATCATGATCGGAGCCGGACCTCGTCTAGGGCTATGGCTAGGGCATCGACAGACTCAACCAATCGATACCCCAGTCCTAGCCCTAGACGAGGTCCGCGCCGATCATGATCCATCCGGGTGGCAAGCATCCTACACGAGGCAAACAAAGTAAGGTGCGAATAGCACTGGCCTAAAAATGCAGGTAGTACACAGACTCCACTATGACCTCGACTCCCGCATGCTATTACTGTCGCTATTACTGTCGCTAGCCTGTGTCAGACTCTCCACGTATGGAACGCCAAACCCGACAAAACTCCGACGTAACATCATCCTGTTTTACTGGGAAGCGTTTGTGTAAACGTTTTGGCAAACGTTCGTTGAAACGTTTCTGTATACGTTAGTTGAAACGTTTCTGCAAGCGTTTAGCTAAACGTTTGAAGTGTTCGTTGATAGGCTGTAGGAATTAGGTACGTTTTCAGTTTCCCCGCCTTCTTTTCATGCGCATGCGCATTATCCGTTGAAGAGCGTGCATTGACATGCGGAAAATGCCCCCACTGCAGTCCTTGGGACAATAGAGTCTAAGATAGAAACTCGATGGCTTCCTTCGCCTTCTCCATTTTTGAAGGAGAGAGGGCAGAACGTGAGAGGGGCAGAACGATCGTCATCTCCTCCGGAATTCATTTTGATTACGAGGAAGTATACTGCGCATGGGCTGGTTATGTCGCGAACGATTGGCTAAACGTTACGTTTCAACGAACGTTTGCCAAAACGTTCACACAAACGCTTCCCAGAGCGTGCGCAAAACAGGATGATGTTACGTCGGAGTTTTGTCGGGTTTGGCGTTCCATATCCACGAGCTATATATACCAGAGCGGAGAATAGAGCCCCAATTTAGCGGTATCGCGCATGCGCAGTTCGCCGAGGGTTTTCACTTTCGTTTACCAGTTTCTTGTTATTGCATGGTAGAGAGTAAAGAAGACTCGCTGCATCCATGCAAAAGCAGGAAATGATAACAGGGCATCGCCAGTAAGTCCAGATCCGACTAGCTACCGCCATTCTTCCTACGTTCCAACACATTATTCCGCAGTATCTCGGCCCCTGCTATGCACAGCAACAAACAATTTTGTGGAGATAGCTACCTACACGATTTAAGCGATAGCTACCTAACTCTATACCTACCTATTGTGCACCGGGAGATTAGAACGCTGTATATACTGAGACTAGAGACAGAGTGAAAAAAACGGAATTGCGAACACGCCGTAGTTACACATGGTCGAAGTAATATTTTTGATGAAGTCTCAACCATGACCCTTTTTGACTAGTTTGTTTTCATTAGGAGGGCTATCTGTAAATACAACAGAGAATGTGAAGGTGAAACTCATTGACAACATTAGTAGTTCTGTTTACCAATAATCTGAAAGGCAGAAACTCCACCGGCAAATGTAAACTTTCTATGAAACTTTCCGTGGGCAAATAAAAACTTTCCGTGGGCAAATAAAAACTTTCACTGGGCAAACAAGAAAACTTCGATGAGATAATTATACAGAAAGAGAATGTGTGCATGTCCTTCTAGCCCGCCTCCCACCACCAAGATGAAGATGGCAGTGGCCATGGTTGCTCCCTAGCTTTTAGGTACTTGACTTGCGTGGTTCTAGTCATATCCCCAGACTTGAGTGAGCAGAGCCTTCTTGCATGAAAGGAGTTTATCTAGGGATTCTATTTGTTACTGTTATGGTTATAATTCATATCTAAAACTTAATGTCACATGGGGATCTGGGAAAGGATTAGTGCAGGTCCAACACCGACAAAAATAATATTATGTATAATGACTGTGGGTGGTGTGTCTTTGTTAATCAGTCATAATACCTCAGTTTTTCATTCCACTACTCCCTTTCTTTCAGTTAGTTATAAAGTTAGTTTGAAGCCCATCCAGGGCAGCTCTTCTTTTTCCTTGAAAAAAAAGAGCTGTCCTGGGTGTAGTTGACTTGTTTGCTTTGCCTTTCTACCTCATCTTGTTGTTAACACATTACTTCAGGAGTCGCAGCAGGGGTTTTAGTGGAACAAATTCCACACATTTTGCTTTCACACTTGCACAGTGCATTACCGCCTATGCATGCGTTTACATTCGCTCATCTGTTGGGTGCTAGTCTGTAGTAATGGTAGATATACATCTCTCTACAGGCCAGACAGCAGAGGAACTGGCAAAGAGAGTGACGTCATCATCCAGTCTGAAAGATGCAGTGGAGGGAGCCGTGTATGTCCAGGTGGGCACATTATTCACTGTGTGCTGCGTATGTATGTTGAGACAATGCAAATTCAAAATGACGGTGGAGATTGAAAATGAATTAGCATCTTTCTTGACTTCGGTAGTTTGCAGAACTGTGTGGCATAATATTCCACCGTTTCTATATAAGGGATAGTGAAAGAATTCTACTGATGAGGTAGTACTACTGTGTAAGAGCTACGTCATTACAAGTCCCTTGTGCACACAAACTGCTGTGTCCACTCTGTGTGTATTATAGGAGTGTACACCAGAGAATGTGTCCCTGAAGCAGAAGGTATTTGGTGAACTGGACTCTCTGGCAGACGATGACGTCATTCTCGCCAGCTCCACCTCGTGTATCATGCCCTCCGTATTCACCTCTGACCTCCAGCACAAGGCTCAGTGCATCGTAGCCCATCCTGTAAGAGCATGGTGTAGTAGACTTAAACTTTTTTGATTACGCTGTTCACACTAGCTTAGTTATAATTGACCACTTCTGTAAGTTTACCATATCCAGTGTGAGATATGTGTAAACTGCTAGTCTTATGACTTCTTCTCATCCTCCTCCCCTCCTCCTTCCCTCTTTCCCCCCTTCCCCGTCTCCCCAACCCAGATCAATCCTCCTCACTACATACCGCTGGTGGAGGTGGTCCCATCTCCCTGGACCTCACAGACGGTGGTCTCCTCCACCATGGACATCATGAGGTCTCTGGGACAGTCTCCCATCAGAGCCAAGAAGGAAGTGAATGGATTCATACTCAACAGACTCCAGTATGCCCTCATTATGGAGGCATGGAGATTGGTCGAGGTATATATATTAACACGGAATTGAAGTCTGACTTAAGCGCAAAAGTAATGGGGGAAAAAGTGAGAAGCAAATGGCAGGGGTGGTAGAAGACAGAGTGCTATTCCTACTGCCTGAGCTGCTCGTGTTCTACATACTTGACACACACGAAATGAGTTGGATCTGTGTGCCACAGGATGGAATAGCCTCTCCAGAGGATGTGGACCAGGCAGTGGTAGAGGGTCTGGGAATGAGGTACTCCTTCATGGGAGTCTTTGAGACCATGCACATCAACGCTGACGGAATGGAGGATTACTGCAAGAGGTAACTGCTCTTTATTCATTCGGCTTTCTATATACATCTTGGCGGGAAGAGGTGACTGCGCGAATATGGCAGAAGTTTAGTACCTGCATACTGAATACCTGAAATATCTATTACTGGACCAGCAATCTGCGAAATTTTTCTCCTTGAAATTTCGCATGTGTTTCTACATACTTCTGAAAGTTTTCCACTATGAAGTAGCTATGTAGTTGTTGGGGACCTGTATGCAAGTGCACCCCTCTGCAAATTTGCCTGCTGGTCTTGCCATTCCATCATCTGCCATTATAATCCCTTATACCTGCCCGTAACACTCAGGTATGGAGCTAACATCACGGAAGTATGCAAGAGTCAGACTCCACCCAGAGCCCTCGGTGGAGATACCCTGGCAACCATCAATGATGCCATGATAAAAAAGGTTAGTTCTTTATTACCCAACTTCCATCAACGTAGTGCCTACATGAATGCTTGACCCCTGCGGCTTATCATGTTTAGTTCACACTTTTGATACAGCTGAGTAGACCACCACTATTATTAGTGCATAATGTTAGAAAACTCTTTTGCCTTGAATGTGGCAGTATGTAAGTGCTTAATACTAGGACCGAGTGCAAGATTATTTTCCTAACATTCTCTATGTAATTATACTGCCGCATTTCCCTTTAAAAGATTACCCTTCTTTCTCCCTCTAGATACCTCTGGAGAAGCTAAAGGAGAAGAGAGAGTGGAGAGAGCAGAGACTGGCTGCTCTAGTCAGTCACACTGCAGAGATGAAGTCACAGGAGAACACCAATTAGTCAACTCTCTATGGCGATACTGCCTGAATCATTGTTGATCATGATAATGAATTAATAACACAAGTTTCAAGAGTTAAAAAAGACAAAAGACTATTGCATTTCATTGGGTGTCCATGACGCATGCATGATTACGACGGTCATTCTTGCGCGTGCGCATTAGCCGGACTCCCGCTGCAGCAACAATGAAGCGCATTCGTAAGAGATTCACTATCATTCTCCTGGTCTTCTCCTGCATCCAGCTACCAGAGCAGCCGCCTCCCACCTCCCAGTACCGCCTGGCCACCGAGGAACCGACCTGGAATGGCGGGAGCGATCCCCAATTACTCTCGTCCCTTCTCTCCCCGCAGTTCATCGGCTACGGTCTAGTCCTCCTGGGTCTGCTGGTGCTGGGACTGCTGGCCACTGTGGATCTGGTCTTCAAGACTGTCTTCATAGTCTGCAGTCTCGTCGTTCACTGCGCCACGTCGCACTGCAGAATACGCCATTTACAACTGGATTCAATTCCAGGCCGAGGGTGGGTCGTATATACTTATAATAAAAAACATGTTTATAGCATATATACTAGCTAAAAGAATAATATGAGAGGAAAAGAAAGAACCTTAACCCCCCACCCTGTTTTGCGCTATAAATGCTACACCAAAACATTCCAGGGCTAAGTATAAATTATTATAGTTGTTGATGGGCTTCCTTTTCTTATCTGCCATTCCAATCTCGTTCACATGTCCCTAACCAAAGGTCTCCGTCGCGTGTGAGTATAAGGATCCATGGAGTTGGGGAGGGAGGGTCCTCCTACCTCCTCCCCGCCTTCCCCTGCCAGTTGGAGTGTGGGACCATCTACAGTCGAGTCTCCCACCTCCTGGGAGTCCCGTCTGCTCTACTGACTCTCTCCACTGGTGTCAAGGTCCTGCGTCGCAGAGTCCCTCTCCAGACCTACACCTCAGACCTGGACCTCTCCAATGGCCTCACTCTCTACTGCTGTATTAGCTTACCTGGAGGAGGTAGTGATGATGAGGGAGACGAGGGAGAAAAAGGGAATACTGATGAACCAAGTGAGGATCACGAGTTTTTCCGAGACCATTTGCATAGGATGTCTCCCTTTAAGCTATATAGCCCTAGAATAAGAATTTTCAGGAAGCCCATAGTTTAATGCATGTGCAGTAAGCTGATTAAAATTACATTATCCGTGTCGTTTGGGACCACTATTGGTTAGCTCACCAATCAGATTGGTAGTGTATGCATGAATATGCAATGGACTACTGTATAAACTTCATGGAACTAACTGCAAGTGTGTTATACTTGTTTTGCAGAAAATGAAAGAGGCTTTGGAGCCAAGAAGGTAAAACCTTACTCTGTGTACATTAGCAATGATGCCATGAATGCTCTCATTTTAGAAATCTGTTTTCAGCAGACTACCCAACCCTGCACTAGGTGAATTATTAGTGCTACATGTTGCTTAATGATTGATTCTATAAAACCTCAGAAAAGCCGACTATATCAGAACTACAGTGTCTCAAGGTGCCGTACGCAGTTGGTAGGAAGTGTACGGAATTTGGAACCTTCCTCCTCCAAGATCGTGATCGTTCTCATATGGAACGTATAGATAAACATTTTCATTCCAGGGGATTTAAAGCTGTTTACATAATACTAAAAATATGGTTGGCAGGGACAGGCCTCCCAAGGACATGGAATCTCTCATCGAAACACTTAGATACTGTGGAAGCTACACATTGGCAAATGAGATACAAGCAATAAAAGTGCCTTCCAATACTTCTTATGTTAATAGAATTTTGTCCCATCACTTACAAGTAACTCTGCATAATTTTTAATATAGGTGACTCGTCCCTTCAGGAAGCAATTGAGGAGGGATCCATTGAAGTGTCTTTGGCAAAGGTAGCAATAGTTGGAACAGCAGGCGTGGGCAAGACCAGTGTCTATTGTCTCCTGATGGGGCTGCCGCCACCAGATCCTGGCAAGAGAACCAGCACAGAGTGTGCCACATGCCCCGTCCGTGTCGTCCAAGTTGGAGGCAGAGAAGATGGGAAATGGGAGAAAGCTGTACTGAAACAAATGGTAGCGGAAGCTGTTCCAACTCTGTGCAGGAGATTGAAGAAGTGTGCAAGAGAGAAAGGGAGTAGCATGCATGAGGAGGTCGATCCACAAGAAATGGACATCAAAAGAGAAGAGACAGAAACTAGGGCAGAGAGCAGCAGAAACACAGACAGTGACACACCAAAGACCAAAACAAGTCCTCTGCAAGGAGTAATCGAAGACGTAGTAATGGAACTGGAGCAACTAGTGACACAGCACCTCACAGTAGAGCGTCTGTACCGTGATACTGAGCAGCTTTCGCTGGAAAAAAAGGCAATATATCTCACCGATAGTGGGGGCCAACAAGCCTTTTGGGATCTCGCCCCAATTTTCTTGCACAGCCCCTCAACAATCATGTTTGTTCATCGTCTCTGCGACAAACTTGGGGAAAAGCCACTCAATGACTTGTACAAGGAAGGAAAGATGATTGCGCCAAGTCAGCGAGCCACACTCACTACAGCTGAAGCTTTCCAACTGATGTGCCAGGGATTAGAGATAGACAGCGAATCCAAGGTAATAGTTATTGGAACCCACAAAGATGTTTATTATGAACAGCACAACGAAAGCATTGCTGACAAAAATGAAAAGTTTGGAAGCTACATACCAGAAAATGCAAAACTGTACTTTGATGAAGGCATGACCAAAGTGATTTTTGAAGTCAACGCAGCCATTCCAGGAGAGGAAGAGAAGGAGATTGCCATGGCAATCAGGGAAAATGTTGTAGAGGCAGCTCAGCACCATGTAGTGCCTATATCTTGGTACGTGCTCCAAATTGTTCTGGAAGAGGTTGCCAGGAGATTAGGAAGACAAGTGTTCACAACGAACGAGTGTGTAGCTGTAGCCAAGGAGCTTAGTTTTGAACCAGATGAAACAGAAGCAGCCCTCAGATTTTTCGACAAATTGAACATTTTTTTCTACAAAGAAGAGCTTCTTCCAAATGTTGTGTTTACTAGCTCACAAGTGTTATTGAATGCTGTCACAGAACTTCTTGAAAAGCGTTACAGATTGCTTGAGGCAAAGAACACACCTAGTAAACTATTCAAACTAACCGATGGAATTTGGCGATCGTTTCGTGACCAGGCTAAGATCACAATCAAACACCTTCGAGATGAAATCTTTCAACATCACTATGTACCTGGTATATTTACTGAAGAAACATTCCTGCATCTGCTTAAAATGCTCCTAATAGTTGCTCCCATTAAAGATGATTTTATGCCAAAAGTTACACCCTCGGAATATTTCTGTCCAGCACTCCTGGCAATGGTAGAAGTTGATGAATTCTTCAAAAGGGATGACCTAGTGACAAGAGTTGTTCATTTTTCCACTGGCTATGCCCCACCTGGTGTCTTCTGTTGTGCCGTGTGTTACCTGCAGTCATACAACTGGATGATCCGAGAAAAGGATGTTGTAGCACGAAACCAAGTGACATTTGCATACCGGGGAACTAGAGTAATATTCACCGACAATCTAAAGTTTTTTTCGGTGAGCATTTCCCAAGGAGATGTTAACAAAGAGCACTGTATGCACATCCATTTTCGCATATTTATGCTATTAAATATGCTCTTCGTATAACTCACAAAGAAAGAACTCTCTTTAGGTTCTCCTTCCTCTGTCCGTGCACCGACCATAAGGCCCTTCATCCTGCAACTGTTGAACAGAATGACAACCTTGTCTGTACCATAGAAGGCCTGAAAAGTGGATCTCTGAGCAAAGAACAGACAATTTGGCATAATGCACGGAACTCACGGTGTTTAGGTCACGAGGCCTATCTGCACAATATCGCCTAATACTATTGACCTTTCAAACAAGGTTCTTCCGCGTGTAAGCAGCAAGATAGAGCTGCTGGCAATTCAACTAGGTCTGGAGAAGTATGAACTGGATACAATCCAAAAGAACTATCCCACAGACGTTCATCGACAAACTCTGCAAGTCTTTGACGAGTGGAAAAGAAAAAGCAAGAAATGTAGTTGGGGATTTTTGCTGGATGCCCTAAGGGCCCCAGCAGTCCAACTCAACAGTTTAGCCAGAGAGCTTGAGGATTGGCTTCGCTACAATGCCGAATAATTCAATGCCACACAACAGTGGAACATACAATGTAGGTGTGTAACTAGTAGGTAGCACATTTTCATATGCCACACATCAGTTAAAGTAGTATGCCATTTGGCTAACATCCCATGCAGTACACCTATGTAAACTACATGTGTGTTTGGTTTACCCAGTGTGTCATGTGCCTTGTAGAAAGTGTATAGTGAATTTGGGACGCTGCCAAAATCAGATAAACTGCCTCCCATGTGGAGAGCTTGAGGATTGGCTTCGAAATAATTATATGCCACACAATAGTGGAACGCAATGGCATCCCGTAACCTACCTACATCGGTGATGCATATCACCTAGATACGTATAGTACTGTATAAAAGTGTGCATGAGATATGGATAGTTAAACAAGAATTATCATTAAGAAAGCAAACACACAAGCAAGGTTAGACGCTGGATATATACGAGGGCTACGTAAATTTAGAAACCCAAGGGCGGAGCTGTTCTGTTCATAGTCCTTACGTGGAATTTGTGCATAGATACAATACAACTAACGTCTTTGTTTCACATAATAATTATAATTACATATTATATCAGCAGAATGCCAGCTCTTATCCATAACATTATCATTACTCAATTGAGATGGCAATAGTTTTAGCTAACAGTTCAGGGGCGTAAGAACAGGGGGGGCTACGGGGGCCAGGGCCCCCCTTTTCTGTTGTTCGTTCGTAACCACCTTATCGTCCATGCCTGAGGGCGAACGCTGCCTCGCCACCAGCGACCGCTTTATGCGCAGTATACACGTACATACGTACATGTAGCCTCGCGGGCGGGAGGCGTGGCTCCGCATACGTAGTTCGCCGAGGGTTTGCACTTTATACAAAAATTTTGTGGCCCCCCCAATGCAAAACACTTTCCTACGCCCCTGCAGTACATATTGACTTAGGTGGTGCATCGTTACTAATTCCTTGAGGAGTAGAACTCAGTTGTGTACAATTATGTATATACACTCCTGCATGCTAAGTGAGAGTATACTGTGCCATAGCACAGTGGTTTGAGGTTTGCCTTGTGTTGTGTTGTGTTGTAGATTCGAACCCCTACCAGCTGGTAGCTATAGTGTTGTGGGTTCGAATCCCACCTAGTACAGCTCTTTATTTTTCCTTGGAAAAAAAGAGCTGTCCTGGGTGTAGTTGATTTGTTTGTTGTGCCTTTGCCTTTCTACCTCGTAGTTTTCACATACATGTAAAATTCCTTGGTCGTAGACCAGGTCACAAGTTTTCATATGCCACACACAGTCAAGGTATATATATGCCACTTGGCTACATCCCATGCAGTCACCTATGTAAACTATGTGTGTGTCTGGTTTACCCAGTGTGTCATGTGCCTTGTATTAGTGATTCTGGCACACTGCCAAAATCTATAATTATAGATAAACTGCCTCCCATTAAAAAAAATTGTGTCCCTGTATATATCATATAGTATTTCTAAGTATTTCAACAAGGTGGTAATAAGAACGTGAGTCTATTCTTTATGACCGATAAATGTCCTTCAGACTGTTAAGAGGCACATAGAGTAGCAAACTAAAGCTAATTTCAGGCCACAGAAAGGGTGTGACTTACTGGAAAGAAGGGATAAAAGGCTAACGAAGTTCTTGCATGGCATTTACTCATGCACCCCAATTAGCTAAGGGAATGTAGCTAATACGTGCTGTCCAGCCAGGGAACCGTTTTTAAATGACATGTCACATGACTTCTACTGGTTTACACAACACAATGCATGATTAAAATGTATATGCAGTGGAATTCACAACAGTGAATACAGTACTCATAAAACCACTTCACAGAAGGGTTAAGGTATGCCATACAACTCAGCATGCCAAATCTCATAACCAGATGTATTGATCAATGATAATGCAAATGAGGGTCAATCCAACGTTTCTCCAGACTTTCGATGGGGACACCAGCGGCTTGACAAGGTCTTTGGTTGCTGGAACTAAGTTAAGTGGCAAGTTTGTCATTGTGGTTCGCCCCAAATTCTTGCTCGGCGTCCACGTTTGGTTGCAAGGGGAAGTACATTTGTGTCTGAGGTCGTTGATACTGCATGTTAGCCACTATTGTGTTGTCTTGCGCAGGGAACGCTAACCAGCCTGTAGTTGAGCCAGTTGCAACTGAAAATGGATGGTGAAAGTTGTTATGGACGGAAGTTTGCTGGATCGTTACAGATATAGGGTGTTGGCCACTGATAACCATTTGTATGTTAAATGGGCAGTTACGTTCCGTTGCTTGCACAGCCTGTGGAAAAATACACACGTCTTCGACCGGAGCGTGCTGCACGTTGAGATGAAGCGGGTGTCTTGCAGGGAGATCATGTAGAGTAGGGCCACCTCCCCTTTGGGGTGCCTCAAGCCAGTTGTGAATAGGATCGACCTCGGGAGGCTGTGGCTCTTCAATGGGGGCATTTATAACTTGTTGTCCGTAAAACAAAGGGTATATGCATGTGAACGCCATAAGCACTATCTGTAGATACATGTCGATATACGCTACGGAGTTGGCAGTGCTGTACTTGCTCAGAAGGTTGTTGCATAGAATCATGTGAAATTTCAGATACAGTTCACTTGCTGGAAAGGTGCAGCTTAGTAGGTAGACAACTGTAGGAGAAACAGTAGAGGGTAATAGGACAGGTTGTATTTTAGGCGGATAAGATTATAATAGGCCTATATAGCTACCTTGAATTGCCATTCTGGCACTTTCAGCTGCACGAGACAAGTGCAGGTAGATAAGCAAGCTCCAGTCGTCTGACATGCTGATCCCGGTTTCATCCCGGGGATGACACGCCAGGGCGTAGAATCCTAGCCATGCACCGAGAAAGGTGCCGACTTTCAAGCGGTTGCCGACTGCAGTTGTTCCAGTACAGGTGGACAACACCTGCCAGATAGCCCTGAACACGAAACACGAGCACAAGGTGGATACGACCGATTGAGCCAGCCACACGACTCGGTACTCGCCCGCTTCCGAGAGATACTCGACGACGGACAGGCGGAGAACCCAGCGCCACGCTTCGTCCTCTCCTCCACGGTGTTTCTGCAGCAGCAGCGTGAGGTATAGTTGGCAGAGGAAGGCGCACGCGGAGAAGAAATGGAACAGAGAGTGGTCTCGAGCCAAGATCAATCGCAGGGAAACAATCAGAACGATATTGAAAGGGAGGCTGACGAAGGGTTCGCTGGAATCAGGCGAGCATGGCGTCAGCTTGTGAGCCTTGTTTTGCAGGTGCCGCGGAGGGTGCCGCTGTCTTAGACAAAATGCCGCCGCCGTCACAAAAATTAGCCCTAAAACACGGGTCGGGTGGTTGCGTCGTCGCGTCGTCCGTCGTCAGCGGCGAAAGTATATCACGTTGTCGCCCCGTGCCCGGGCATCGCGCGCATGGGCCTGGGGTGATGACAATTCGACAACGCCCGCCCACCCCTGGCCCCGTGCGCACGCGCTGTTACTTCCATTGTGCATTGCATTGTGAATATGTATGGATATGACAGTGATATGACAGTGATATGACAGTGATACAATGATTATACATGTGAGACAGTGTTTTAAAAGTGATTGGGGGGTTGGCCTTGCCATTACACTACTGGGGTGTTGGGGTTGGGAAGATGACCTGTCACCATTTCACTGTCAATGACAGCTGGTGGTATACGTTCATTCACATCGTTAACTTCAAACCGAAGTGGAGGTAATGGAGCCCCAACATGTGTGGGACTGGAGTAGTCGTGAAATGTACGGGAGGGATCTGGTGGTGATTCATGTCCACCGAGATTCGGGGGAAACGGAAGAAAAGGCTCGTTTCTCGGTCGACGTGGAAGATATTCAAGATATTCCACATGGTCTTCGTCTCGCCAGCGAATGATGTATGTTTGCCAGGCAACAGCCATTTGACAGAGTACAATCACCACGACATTGTACGCACACCATACGACTACAGACATGAACCACACACTGTAACGTACCAAATGACAAAATAAAACAGCGATGCTCACAACAAACTGTACAAAAAAGGCAGGTAGAATCTCCAAAATAAAGTTCATGCCATGGCCTATTAAAACAAGAGAGTTTACTACCAATCTTTTGCCAGTGTTTACCAGATAAATAAACCAGCCAGGTGCATTGCAACATGCGCCTCGACATTCGGCTAAGAAACCAACAAATCTAGACACACAACAGGAATTGAGAGTGCCCAGCCACAAGCAAACAAGCGAAACAGAATATCAACACAGAGCCCCATGAAGACGGTATACTGAGTGGTGCCCCAAACCTTTTTCTCCTGAGAGGCAAATGTGTAGGTCAAAGTAGAGCTGTGGATGAGAAGGACGAACGACGAGAAGGCGATGCGACCAAACAGAATTTTCGAGTTGGGATTCCGCCACTTGAACTCTCTAGTAGCTATGCCAGAAATAAGGGTAACCCCTTCCATTAGTTGACGTAGGAGGCGTAAAAATGCGGCAATTGTAAGAACTACAAGCACAGTTACATCTTGGGCCAAAGTTCCCAGAGATTTTTGTACGAGGCTCCACAGTACTAGGTCAGAGCAAGAGAATTCACCGTGAAAATAGTTGCAGTCATAAGCACGAGAAATCTACTGGGGCTCCACCGAACCTTCCACAATATGGTGGGGCTTCTCAGCTTCATGTCAGAGAGCTTTGCCAGATGGAAGGAAGACGAACACTCGAGAAATGAAGATGCCATCCAGGAGACTAAGGAGAAGATGATGTATTGGTATATCAGAGCTCCGGCGCTCTCTGAACAGACGTTGCTCATCCACAGCGCTATTTCGGTGTGCTTGATAATGAAATTCCGGTTGTAGGTAGCGTAGAGTAAATACAAAGAGGAGAGTACATCGACTGCGACGGCGAGGGCGCTGTTGCGGCGTTTGCGGGAGCTAAGGGCCACCAACGTCCCAAGAAAAACGAACAGTAGGCAGATGTCATACTCCATTCTGACCTGAAACGTGTGCCATAATATCTGGCCTGCGGAAGGCGGCGACTCTAGTCCGAGCTCCCGACGGCATGTCCCGCTAATCAGGGCGGTCAGGCCGAGGCCCGGCGCTTTTATCCTTGGCGGCACCATAGCTCTCGAGGTAGTCGGTGCTCGTCGAGTGTCGCAGGAGAGTGTGACCTTCTACGAGAGTTCCCACGGCAAAGCCCTTCATCAGAGAGAGCCCGCGCCGATTTGCTTGGGTCGCGCCCACAATCACGCCGATCCCACGATCCACGATCGAGCAACTGCAAAGTTTGACCTTTGTACCATCTCTAAAAATGTCTCGGAAAGGACGTCCACAGGACGCTAGAAAAGTGGGGTAAGTACTCCCACCACCACTCAAATCATTCGGTACCAGTCGTACTTAGTGGTACTGTAGCTCGCTAACGCCTGAATCGATCTTAGCACGACCTTCAAGAGTTTTATTGGCGAGCGGGAGCGAGTTAACCTAGTGGTACGAAAACGGCGCGGATTTCGACCGTACGTCGTCCAGCTGCGCATGCTCCAGGATTACGCGCTTCTTTTTATCCGAAAGATTTCAAAATTTCACATGCTGCCTGCCTCGCCTGTGATGATGTCGTGCGTATACATGTGCATATAGTCCGGGGAAGATGCCCTTCGTCGTCGAAGAGAGAGGTAAAGAGAACATCGTGCCCGTGAGACTCCTGAGCAGAGAGGCTCGTTTGTATCAGCGTCGCTTTCGTGATAGGGAACGCGCAAATTTTTACACGCTGCCCTAGCTGTCATATCGATGCGAAATATAGCCAGCCAAAGAACTCTCGTCTATTTGCTGCCATTCGCTGCGCTCTTCGATACCTGACCGAGGCTGTCTATACCTCCTTCCAATCTTCGTGATTCTAAGGTTCAAGTTGTAGGATGGCTCGTGCAGATAGAGTCATTGTGTGCCTCGCTCCCGCTCGCCAAAAATGCCATGCATTCGCCTACTAGTAAGTACACCCAAATCTTATAGAGTGGAGAGTTGTTTGTGGAGCGATTCATGGCTCGTGAATGGAGTTTAGGTAGGTGCGGACAGCAGACTAGACAGACACACAGTAACCCTCGCTGCGCATGCGCGCCGAGGGTTAATAAAACAACACCACCTAAACCATGAGCAGACACCAGGAAGAGAGAGAGTTTAGGGATTCTTGGCGCCACACTGGAGGTGAAAAATAGTAGTGAACGACAGAGAAAAAACTCCAGAGGCTGGAAAACGTAAAATCCTCCAATTTGCCACACCAAACTACGGGCTCTACGGTATCAACTTGCACTTGGACTGCTGGTTTTACGCCAATCGGGAAAAAAACATTCTGCTCAGTTCAATGCCATAAAAGGCTATGGGCTAAATTTAGGTAAGGCTAAACCCAACCCATCAGCGGTGCGCATGCGCGATCAAGGCGGTAGGGCTGCTCCACCTACCTCGACCTGAACCGCTTGCTCTGTGTACCTTGGAGGCACAAGAAGCCACAGCGAAGGGCGTGTATCGACTCCCGTAGCTAGCCCGTGTCAGACTCTCCGCGAGCTACTATCGGGAGACCGCGGGTAAACACCAATAGCTAGCCCAGCCCATCCATTCGGTACCGCGCATGCGCAGTTCGCCGAGGGTTTGCACTTTAGTGCTTTTCATTGATACTGGAAGGAACATAGTTTAATATCTTGTTGATCATAAGTTGTCAACTATAGGTGGGTACACGACACAACACAACATACACCTAGGACAGTTCTTTGAAAAAGGAGTGACACTGGGTGGGATTTGAACCAAAGACACACTCTATTGCAAACCCATGACGGTCCACTTTCATCTTTCTATATACTGAGGTACAAAGCAAGCTCGGTAAAACAAGTAACTTCGGTCACACACAATCTTTGGTTGACTGTGTAATCCACAGAGATGAGCAGACTCTGCGAGCCGACAATCTTGTGCATGCGCATGATAGGGTTGTAAAAGGCTGATAATAAAATGGCTGAATTGCTGACAAGTATATAGTTTCATGATCATTGCTAAAGACATCCAATACTGACACACTGAACACTGAAAGAAATGTGTGAATTGAAAACTATCAGGGATGATTTTTGGGTAATGAATGATAATGTTAAAATAATGTTGTATCGCTTTGTTCATATTGATATGGGATAAGGGTTTGGATGGTTAATTACAATGATGGGGAGATGGGAGAGTGCTGATGACCGGTGACTACCATACTATCAGTGGTTGGCATAGGCGTAAGTTTGTATACACACCTTACTTGGAGCTGACAGAGACTGAATGGTGTCCCGACATCAGTCGGATCGGCAAAGTCTAACGTAGGGGACCAAACTGGAGGCAACTCATCTCCACCGAGACTCGGGGGAAACGGAAGAACGAGCTCGAGTCTCGGGCCGTCTGAACTGCGAGCAAGATGATGTCGAGCAGCTAGCTCTGAACAGTTAACACACGCACGATGGTTTCGGTATCCAGTCGGGATAAGAATTACAGGGGCACAAACTAATTCCCCGTGCATGGGACTAGTAGCAGTTTCCACTTGTACCTGACGAGGTAGGTAGGGTTCAAGAAGGGGGTCGTCGTAATAATTCACTTGCTCTTCTTCGTCTTGCCAATGTAGGACGTATGCTCCGCAGGCAACTGTGAATTGCGTCGCTATAACAACAACAGCAAGACATACAACCCGTGGTATGCTTACAAAAATGAATCTTACACTGGGGCATATAAAACGACATACAAGGGTTGGTACAAAAGTATGGGTAATTAGACCCCAATAATTGACTACAAAACCACCAGTGTTTACTACATGTGTGAGTATAGTGGGTGTATGATAGTGAGGGTGAGCTAAAAAATTAGCCAATCTTGACACACAGCAAGAGTTCAGAGTTGCCCAGCTACAAGCAAACAAGCGAAAGATGACATCAACACAGAGCCCCACAAAGATGGTGTACTGAGCGGTGCCCCAAACCTTTTTCTCCTGAGATGCAAATGTGTACGTTAAACAGGAGCTGTGGATAAGAAGGACGAATGACGAGAAGGCGATACGACCAAACAGAATTTTCGAGTTAGGACTCCGCCACTTGAACTCTCTAGTAGCTATGCCAGTTATAAGGGTAACCCCTTCCATTAGTTGCCGTGTGAGGCGTAGAAAGGCAGCAATAGTCAGAAAAAGAAGAACAACAGCATCTTGAGCCAAACTCCCTAGCGACCGCTGCACGAACCCCCACAGTACAAATGTCAGAGTCAGAGAAATGCCTGTGCAAATAGTGGCAGTCGCCAGAATGATAAATCTGCTCGGGCTCCATTCAATGTTTGCAAACCTGACATTTAGCCTTCTCTGCTGGGTTTTGTACAGCTTTGCCAGGTTCAGAGAAGACGAGAGCTCTAGGACGGAGGATGCTACCCATGACACCAGGGAAAGAACCAAGTAGTTGTATATTAGAGCCCCCGCTCCCTCTGCACAAACGTCCCTAACCCACTTCGTTAGCTCGGTGTTTCGAATAATGACTGTTCGGTTGTAACTAGAGTACAGTAGGAAGATAGAGGATAGCACATCGACTACCACCGCTGGGATTCTGTTGCGCCGTTTGCGCGAGTTGAGAGCGACTAGCGTTCCCATAAATACAAAGAACAGACACACCTCGAACTCCATCTCGACCTTGAAAGTGTACCCAAGCAACTGTCCTGCAGTAGACATCGCTCCGTTGCTGCATGTCTCCATCGTGATCAAGTCCCGCGGGTCGTCGCTAAACAGGCCCAGCACTTCGACGGTTTTCGGGCGAAAATTTACTTCGGGATAGAAGATACTTGTAGACAGAGGTTGGGTTGACGTGGACCGGACACACTGCTTTTGTTTTTTGGGCGTGTCCGCGTATACATTTACGCATGCGCACAACGAGCAAACGTGATATCACGTGGGCTGCTTTTGGGAATTGGCTCTCTTGCTTCACTCATCAGGGTTTACTAAACGAAGGAAGGAACGTACATTAGCAGTTCAATAAAGGAACATGACTGGGGTATCGCCAGATCTATAGAATGAGCTAGTATGATGAAGAGAGTCCATTATCATTGTTTTTTAGTCTATAGTGTACCACACGTGACTCTTTGATGTATGCATAAGTAAATGAAAAGCACTGAAGTGCAAACCCTCGGCGCATTGTGACGCGCACGCGTAAGTAAACGCATGCGCCGTACCACTAAATGAGGTGCATTAAAACCTTTGAACCTTTGAATTGATGGGCTGGGTTTAGTTTTAGCTGTTACTCGTGGTCTCTTCCCAGCTCGCGCAGAGTCTGACGCGGGCTAACTACACTACTAGATAGCATGCGAGAGGCGATACACGCCCTGCGTTGCATCTTCTGGTGCCTCTGAGGTACGCAGAGCACGCGGATCGATCAGACCGTGGTAAGCCATCCCGTCCGTTGCCTATTTGCATATTGGCTTTTTCGCGCTCTAGCTCTGCAACGGAGCAGTTTCAGAGAAAACCCCACATATTTTATGATCTTCATTGCCCGTTCAGTAGGTGGTATCCTTTGTGAGACGAACGAACACTCGAGAAGTGAGATGACGAGTAACAGACAGACACACAGACAGACAGACAGACAGACAGACAGACAAACCCAACTACCGTAACCCTCGCTGCGCATGCGCGCCGAGGGTTAATAAACAAACACGCAGTGCAAAGAATGGGACGACGAAACTGGTGAGTGGGTATTTTGTTCCACTGTTTGTTGAGGGGAATAATAATTATGCTATGACACATAGATATGGCGGAAGTTGAAAAGCTGGTGAGGAGTGTTGAAGCTGACGGACTTCTGTGGGGAGCATGTAAGTACATGTACACTAAATATGGTCTCCATACACTGATGTATATATAGTACAGTCATAGTGAAGCTCAATCTCTATACCTCTCTCTTGTTCAACAGCCAAGCTGGTTCCTCTGGCCTATGGGATAAAGAAACTGCAATCTCGTGTGTAGTTGAAGACGACAAGGTGGGGTAATTTCTCATTATCTCACTCAACGGGTGGCAAAGAGACAGTCCCCCTTAGTGCGCATAATTACATTTTGTTAAAGGGAATGTGGCAGTATAAAAGGGCTAAATTTAGAAATTCTACTAAAGATAGAGCGAAACCAGTGGCGGAACACCCATTTTGTCATTTTGCGCGCATGCGTCGCCAGCCTCGTGTGCGCACACGAGCGCAGTCAAAAACGTTTTGGACAGCGGATCACTCCCCCCCCCCCATTTCAAAATCCTAGATCCACCACTGAAAACAATAGAGGTACAGTCAAAGAATGCCGTTGAGTTCCGTTTTTCTAAATTGAGCCCTTATATACTGCCACATTCCCTTTAACTAGACAGTTGCCTTGCATTCAAGAAAAACTGCCTTTTTTCTTCACTTTTTTGAGTTTCTAAAGGTGCATACAACAATAACACGCCGGCGACAATGAGTTACGTATGTGTGTTGCAGCACCCAAACAAGACAGGGTTGTATGGAGAATCATGTGATACACGACTCGGTGCATTCTTCCACGCTCGCACTTGGGGAGGTTGCCATGGGTAAAAAATTTCCTGTATGGAATTTTCTTGCTTGGCAATTGCTAGGGATATCAACAAAAGATGATGCAATTCCACTTGTTTTGATTGGATAAGTGGCTTTTTAATTCAGCTTTTCAAACTTGATTATACATAATATACACAATCTAAACATCAATATTAACAAACATATTCACAGATAATAGACGGGTGGGTGTATAATATAATTATATTGTCTGTACATTTTTGGGCGTATATATAGCTTGTAGCTATATTATACTTAAAACTTGGAACACGAACACACACACGAGTATTATATATTGTACAGAAGGCTTTAGAGATTAATATGTTTGAGAGTATAAGTGTGTAGAGTGTGTGTTTAGCTTGTAGCTTCAAGTGCGCTTGTCTCCAAGTTGCAGAGAGCCTGGCTTCCCACTATGTCTTCAACAGGCTCACCCCTTTGAGATGAGGGGAAATCATCTCCGAGGACAGGTTCTGGCTCGAGGTGGCTGTTGAGCACATGTATCACGTAGCGTTTACGACGGTCAAGCATTCGTATTCGATTTGAAAGACGATTATACTGGACATAGTGCACACAGTTAGCATCATCGACCCACACTACTATAGCATGTTCCCGGTTTCGATCTTGCTCCTGGTGTATATGAAGGTAGCGAAGCCAACAGATCTGACATTCCCTCACTATTCTAACGAGAAACCGACACGCAGCGTCGATCCACGCAAGAAAACTGACCGACAGAGCTAGTTGGATGACGTTTCGTAGCCATTTCATAAGGCAGAAACATGATGCAGTCACGAACGAAACTGTCGTCGAGCGAATCCATTCACATCCTGAAGTAACAATTTGCCAAGAACGTTGTACTCCAAACACGTAAACAGATATTCTCATTCCACGCCCTGTGGCAGTAACCCAGTCTAGTGTCCTTTGAGTCGGCACAGCCAGTTTTGAAATGGTGGAAGAGCACATGGATTTTACGCTGGCAAGGAAAGTGATCAGTTTCTCGATTGAAACAAACCTATCACAAAGCAAAAGAGTTTTTGTCCAGGCATGCTTCCAAGTCTTGAGCACTACGCACAGCTGAAGCAGGATATCAACAATGGAGTAACAGTTTGGCCCATAACTTGTAATCTCCTGTACATTCTGGCCCAATATTAACAGGCTGAATAGGAATTGGTGAGTCTTTTTCTTTAGTGGAGCAGTTCTTTGTGTCCACACTCGTGGCACCATTATGTAAACTGCACATAATACAGTTGTATAGAGAAATTATATATACAGGGGTTTAATACTGGAGTATACGTATACTAAAGAGTATACTACGTGCAATACTCTATAGTAAATATACTTGCACTAACCTTGAAGCGTGGCTCTGATCCCTTCTATTATACGAGATGCATAGACGTAGAAGTAGATGCTCTGGTCGTTCGTAATGGGCCCAAGAGTCTTTTGCTCGGTTCCGTCAAGAAGAAGGTTCAGCAAACACATCATGATTCCGAACCCGATCCATTTTATATTGACAAGAGGTCTCATATCAGTGGGCGATAGTTTGTATATCAGTTTGCACACGGACGAGGAGAAGATAAGCAGCGATATCGAGGAAGTGAGACTGAGGACGAGGTACTCGCTCACGTCATCTCTCCATGCGGGTTCGGCGGAGGCCTTCGTCGCAGTGGAGTAAACCAAGTAAAAGAAGGAGATAGCAGACACGAGATGATCGACGGCCAGGGAGCGGGCTCTAACCAGGCCTAACGAGACCAACAGGACGCAGTGGAAGGGGTAGCTTACGAAGGCCGCGTACACGGCTTTTGCCTCTGACATGATCGCAACCGACGCTACTGCAGAGGCTCTGGCCAACCTCCCACCAATGAATCTCCACACGACTTCTTCTACTTCTTTGGCAAAAGTTGGGTGGCACGGCTAGCTAAACGGCTTGCCATACGCGCGTGCGCAATGGCCTATTTAACTGCGCGTGCGCAGGCCAATTGAAGGTGACCCTGTGTACCCTATATACCATCGCCGAAGTGAAACGATGTCGCGGCAAGGACGTCCACAGGACACTAGAAAAGTGGTAAGTACTCCCACCACCACTCAAATCATTCCGTACCAGTCGTACTGCTACTCTATCCCGACCAGTCCTAGTGCTACTCTAGCGCCTGAGCCAGCATTTAGACACTAAGCACTACGGCCTCTAAGGTGACGCGTATCTATTTGCTAGAGTGGAGAGCTGTTCTCTCTCACGTACGGAGCACTGGTGGCTCAGCTGGTGAGAGACTACGAGAAGGACGAGGAGGTGAACCAGCAACTGGACAAGATGGGCTACAACATTGGAGTGAGGCTCATAGAGGACTTCTTTGCCAGGTCACAGCAGGGGAGGTGCCATGACTTCGCACAGGCTGCGGATGTCCTCACAAAGGTGAGGAGAGAGAGAGAGAGTGGAGATTAATGGGAGAGATATAATGGTAAAAAACAGTTTGCTCACGGTGTAGGTTTTTCTTCCCGTAGAGATGTAAACATGGAGGGGGTATATGGAAGTGCTCATAAAAAATTGACGACTAACGTTCACTATCTTGAAGACTGTGCGTCGAGAAAGGCGTGTTTGCTCTCTCCTCAGGTGTCTTCAAAGCAAGACGCTGCCTAGTGCGAGATAGCAGTAGATGGCTAATTATAATACTGCCCACACAATATATGGGAAAGCATGAGCTGTTGAGTCTAATCCACTATTTCATACCATCCTCCACACACACACACATGCACACACGCAGGTGGGATTCAAAATGTTCCTGGGAGTGGTCCCGACGGTGGCCAACTGGAGTGCAAAGGGCGACGAATTCTCCCTCATTCTGGACCAGAATCCTCTGGTGGACTTTGTGGAGCTCCCGGAGACCCACCAGGGACTCCTCTACTCCAACATCATCTGTGGAGTCATCAGAGGAGCTCTGGAAATGGTATATATATATCACATAGCAGTGGATAAGATGGAACCTCCGATAAGGGACCCTCCGAGATAGGGAAGGCCTCTCTACTAAGGACACTTACTTCAACTCCATGCTAATTTACTTTAGTTTGACCTCTGAGATAGGGACGACCTCTCTACAAGGGACAAGGTTATTGGCCCCATAGTATCCCTTGTTCAGACTTAGAGAGAGTGGGTAAGACCAGCTTTTATAGCTCAGTGCATGAAATAGTGGACTTTTAGTGGGAATACCGACATACAGTGGAACCTCGGAACAAGACACACTATGGGACAAACAATTTCATGTCCCTATGTCGGAGGTCAATACACTAAAGTATTAGCATGTCCTTTGTAGAGAAGTCGTCCCTATCTCGGATGGTCCCTTATCAGAGGTTCTATATACGTAATGTACAAGTTGGGACCGGGAATTTTGTCCCTTATGGGGAGGTTCTCTTCAGAGGTGTAAATGTACTGAAAACTGAAAGTTTGGGACCTTAACGTGCGTCCTTTCTTTGAGAGGCTTTTTCTATCGTCCTTTATTGGGAGCATCCTTTATCATAGGTATATTGTAGTACATAGCTTATATATGACATAACATTTTATGTACTCTATATACTGCCATCAGGTTCAGTTGGAGGTGAAGGTGTGGTTTGTGCAGGACCAGCTGAGGGGCAGTGACTCTACAGAGATCCGAGTCAAGTTCCTCAAGAAACTGGAGGATGCTGTCCCTGCCGGAGAAGACTGACACACACACACACTCACAATCACACACAAGATTTCTTTTATCCGCTTGTTTCTTTGCATACCACAGTTATACTGTAAGATTTGGACACCATCGTCACTTCTTCAATCATGCCAATGCGCATGCGCAGCTCGTTGAGTTCGCACGCGGGCGCGCGCATGCGTATAAAAACTTCGCACACACCCACTTTCATGATCCAAATTAGATTGCTATTTAGCCACTTGAGAAACACTGAGATACTTATAGTTTCTACTGCAGAAAGCAGGATGGCATTACGGGTCTACAGACTCGCTGTTGTCGGCTGTCCTCGCGGAGTCGTAGAACCCTCGACTGCAGCATCAGCTGACGGTCCGTTCAGCGGTGTCGGAAAGTCCTGTCTCTGCAACCGTTTCGTCAAGCCCGAGGCCTACACAGAGACGCACGACTCCCTCGTGAGCGCCAAGAAATGGAGCGACGACGCGGCCATCACTGGCGACCATTTTCTCTACTGGGGCGCTACGACCCGACACCTGCAGGACGGCTCCAAGGCACGATTCCAGGTCGTTGAGCACACGGAGTTTTACGACAAAGAGTCCTCGACTGCAGGGGAAGAGCTGCAGCCGCACCCGAGCGATGCGAGCTATTTGGAGCGAGCTACGTCGGTCCGCATTGCGACAAGTTCCATCGGGAAAGTCGCCGTTCGCCTGAAAGCCGAGCAAGCTTCAGCGAGAGCCGGGGGAATTCGCAGCACGACGCAAATCTTTCCGAACGAGGACTTCGGCGGCAAAAACGGCGGAGTGTTGGGTTTCGCCTGCGTGTTCGATCCAACACTGTCTGGTGAGCAGATGAAACGACAGATGTTGTACCTCACTGAGCTACTGCAGGCGTTGAACAAGAGGAAAAAGAAACTCGCCGTGGCCTGCACTAAATGCGACGAGGCCAGCGAGGAGCACATCAAGCTAGGTGCCAGTCTCGCTGCATCTGTTCTCAAAAAACCGATACCCTTCTTCGAGGTTTCCTCTAGAGACGACGTCAACGTAGAAGACGTGTTCTTCACGTTGATCGGTCATGCCAGAAAGTCACCGAAACTTCCGAGAGCTACGAAATCCCCAAAAAGCAGCCGACACTTTTCGATTAGCAGTCACAGCCACGTCTCTTACAAGGACGCAGTCTCACTGAGAAAGCAGGACATTCGCCGAGCAAAGGACGCGTACCGTCGACTTCTTCAGAAAAAAATCACCGGTTTTTCGGCCGTGTGGAGCGAGGCTTACCTCATGCTCGAAAAGGAAGAGGAGTTCTCTGTTCTTCTCCAACTGGCTGGGAAGGAAGGGAAGGAGATGGTGAAAAACATGTTCTGTCTGCGGCTGATTGAGATTAAGCTGACCGAGGGGGCCAAGCTGCACGGGATGTCATCGGCGACAAAAAAGCTAAACAAGGAGAAATCTCAGGATTACCAGCGCTATCTATCAGATGCTCTCAAGAGCCATCCAGATTTGAGGTGAGTTTGTAAATTGTAAAGTGTGTGTGTCTCTTTCCTTGGTTCCTGGAACTCATATCAGTTTATGAAGTTTGCTGCATTACTTATCCTTTAAGAACCGTGATTAGATTTCGGAGTGCATGGTGGCATGCATGCAAGCTGTCGGACTTCCATAAACAATTTGACAGATGGTTCACTGCCCTGAATTACTCATAAATTAAGGCCCAAATCCTCCTCCTTTCCTTGACTTGTTTTCCTCTTTGGACTAATTAGCCGTTGTTTACACACAAATTGCTGGGAACTAAAGGCCTAGCTTTCACAAAATGTACTATCATCAACTCAGACCCTTTGTCCAGCTGATACTGATTGTGTAGTAAATAGACACAGGAGCACAGGAGAAACAGAGAGAGGGAGAGGGGATAGAAATAAAGAGAGAGAGAGAGGGGGTATGAAAATTAAAGAGTGAGAGTTAACTAATCAACGCTTTCATCGCTAATGGCCTCTGTTGAGAGTGACTGTGTCATCCACAAGACCTTATAAAGATCTGGGCCACACACCACATGCATGCTGGGACCACACTCTTAGTGACAGTATCAAATTCCGCACTCCACCGCAGCGACACTGCCTGTTGCATACTGCAGAGACTTTGCATACCTCCTCATCCCGGAATGTGTGTTTGTGCGCGTGTGTCCTACTTTGTGAAGAAATAACTCGTCAAAATTCCACGGCTGTAAGTAAAACTGCCTTCATAACTCTGTAGATTGAAGGATTTACAGGTGCATTGGTTCATACCACCTAAGATAGTGACACGCACCTCTACATAGATGTTCACCATCTGACTTCACCATCCTACTAGTGGTGAGAAATAGGGAAGCTACAGTTGAACTAACATCTGTCTGGCGACTTTATTGCATTTTTGTTAGAGCCCCAAGGCTCACTTTTGCAGAGCTAAGTATACACATGATACTCTAGAGCAGACAGTTTTAAATGTCTCCCCAGTGCATGGAAATGGTATACTAAATACCCGCAGACTGTATACAGTCACTGTGTGAAAGGGAGACATTATAGTGGTGTGGAAGACGTACATAGGTTCCACAGGAACACAATGAAGTTTTAGTAGCGTAGTTTGGTTCTATTGGTGCGCACAGTATAATGTGTATGCATTTTCTGGGTTCATTCCGTCATTCCAAAGTCTTGCAGTGAAGGGTTAAGTTTGCTGTCTGTTTTTCAATAGGTCTATCGTCAGGGTGCGTGTATAGTACAGAACATCCACTGTTGTAGAGGTTGGGAAGAATGATAGCTATGTGCCAGTATAGAGCTTCGTCAACCCATACTACATTAGCAGCTATTACAGACCATCACAGTAGGGTCTAGTTGAAGTGGGGTTTTTTTAATTAGTTAATTTCACTCTAACTCAATTCTGGAGCACTTGCCATCTGGAACAGCTTCCGTTGTGTATTATGCTGTGTGGTTAGCTAAACAGTATTCATGTGGGAGAGTTTTTAAAGCCATTATCCACACATTTCCTACCTGGGATACTGGTTTAGTGGCCAGGCATGTCATCAATGCAGTAATAGTCTTCCAGGTATAGAAGAACACAATAGCCCAGCAAAAGGTAATAGTCACACCCTGTTGTCAGTGTAAACAGCTGTACCAATCACAGCACAAAGTGATCAAGCTGACTGTGAGGTCACAGTTATACTTAGACCTCTGGAGCTCCGTCCATTGTCTGTGGCCATAGAGACTGCATCCTTCCTCTTTCCTTTGGAGGTGGTAGTACATCCTCCCTTCTTCCCCTCCCTCCTCCTATTTCTCCTCCACCCCACTCCCTCTAACTGGAATTCCAACGGTGCGACTTCCTGCCCCCATTATGCTTAATCAGCTGTTGTATTCCAGCTGTCCAATTAATAGATGAATTATTCATGACGAGGTACATGACTTCCTGCCCCAATTATGCACTTTGTGAACTTTGCCAATATTTTTACTTTCGTGAGATGTGTGTACATGCAATGTCACCGGCTTGAGTGGCGAGGAGATATGTACTGTTTTTAGCCGAGTGCACTATATTTAGTAACAGCTTGCCCTGTGCCTACTGCAAGGTGATACATTGAGCCACTCCTACAGATCACACCAGATCTATAGGAAATACCCAGCATACCACTCTTATATACCTGTATGAACCACAATAATAATGTGTTTGTACTTCTTTCATTACTTCCCACCTGTTGGGAGTTCATGACCTCCATACCTCTTTGGCATTGTATTTGCTGAACCATTAACCATAATTATAATTCCAGGGACGTTTTGTATGGAAACATTGCCTGATTTACGGTATTGACTATTTCCCTAAGGAGCAACGTAGAATGAAACCGAATATTTCTTGTTTGGGTGGGATTTGAACCAGAATGTCTTGTTGGGTAGTCCTATCGGATGTTGCATAGATAATACACTGTTGCATGAACTATAATATAGTCTCTAGTCTGGTTTTTTCACGACAGATTACATACATATGGCTTCCTACCACACGTGCTACAGTATTTGCACAGATAAGGCACATGGTCATTTTGGTATGATGTAATCCTTCTAGTTCCCAGAGCAACACTATAATATTTACACAGGCAACTACAGATACGGGCACATGGTCATTTTGGTATGATGTAATCCTTCTAGTTCCCAGAGCAACAGTGTTTCCTTTCCCACGCACATACCAATGTCTACCACACTGGGTAACCTAAAACTCTTTTCCTCGGGTGACAGTGAGGTAGTGATGATGACACACCACAATGTGCACAATGCCCCAAGTATCAACTTCGCCCACACAACATTGTTGTACATACCCTACATTTACCATTCCTGTTTAATAAAGATCACTCCATAAACCATAACAGTATAATGAGGTAAATACCTTGCAGTAAAGCGAGCCTACGGGGCTTGGCAGCACTAAACACACCCGATCAAAAAGTGGACAATAAATAATATTATGTTGTTTGAGCCTCTACCTGCTGAGTTGCCCTGGTAGCTCAGTTAGTAGTGTGCTCACCTACAAATGCCAGTGTTGTGGGTTAGAATCCCACCTAGAGCAGTTCTTTTCCTTGGAAAAAGAAACAATTTGTTTGCCTTTGCTTTGCATACTGTAATAATCAATAATGGTTGACGAATGCACATTGAGGAACTTCTGACATTAAGCAACAAAGACGAAGAATGTCTAGACTTTACCTGACTACTGAGCAAGAAAATGCACTAGGGCAGGGGGGATTTGTTTACTCACCTACCCTACCAGGATGCAGAGAATTCATAGATTCTCCTGGACTTGTGTGAACTAGACATCGACCAAAGCATTCCTCACAGTTGTACGCGCGGAGTAGTTGAGTAAATAAAATGATTGCCAGATGATGGGTCCACTGATGTGGTTCTTCCCTCCCTCCCTCCCTTCCCTCCCCTCTTCCCTTCCTCCCTCCCTCCCCACTCCCCCGCTCCTCCCTTCCCACAGAGGACAAGGGAGCAGCAATTAGCACAGCTAGGCTCCGAGAATGCTAGCTACACTGTGGCTATAATATACACAGCACCCATTCACTTGAAATTGAAGTAAATGGATTTCTCCGTATGAACTCTGGTTTCTTGGAATTCGTCACATGTATAGTGTATCCTCACGTAATGCTTCATTGCTCCCATGGTATGATAGTAATAAGTATAGGGAAAGCTTAACATGGTTGTGAGAGAGAGTTTACTTCATTACATGTGGTTGTTAAACAGGATGCAGTGTTAATGATGTGGGAGTTAGAGAGGGATTATTCCACTATAGGTATCTGTACTATTATGCACATAGGATGTTGTATGGATAGTTTCAATAAGACAAGTGGCTGCGTCTGTCGACACAAACAAGTTGTTTGTATCAGTTTATGGAATAACCCACCCACATAATACTGACAGCATTGACTCCTCTTTATCTAAACTGTCATCTTAGAGGGAATGGGGAGAATGTCTGAGTGTTGTAGCTCAGTGTTTAGTGCACTGGACATCTTCTAGTCACGATGCACGCCTCATGAGTTCAATCTGAGGTCGTTTGATCTCCTGACCTGTGTATAATAATATTATACTGTGTGAGAGTATTGTGCCATAGCACAGTGTTTGCCTTTTGTCTTGTCTTGTAACGTGTTGTAGATTTGAACCCCTACAAGCTGAGTTGCCCTGGTAGCTCAGTTAGTAGAGTGGTTGCCCTGGTATAGCTCAGTTAGTAGAGCACTCGCCTAGAGTGCGCAGAGTATCGTGGGTTTGTGGGTTCGAATCCCACCCAGGGCATCTCTTCTTCGAAAAAAGAGCTCTCCTGGGTGTAGTGGACTTCTTTGATTTGCCTTTCTTCTATGTGGTTGTTGGCACATTAGAGTACCATTTCTTCATTCTTCAATCTTGTATCAAGTCAACTACTTTCCCTCCCTTTCTACCCCTCAGGGACGAGTCAGTATACGACTATGTGTACTCCACGGGGATGGCGGACACGTCCTCGGTCCTCTCTCTCCAGACCAGTATCAACAGCGACAACGGCAGTAGTTCTACCTCGCAGTGCGACACCCCAGACAACAACTCTGGCCCAATGGGAGGATCAGCTCTACATCTCAGAGACATCGCCCACCAAGGAGGCCAGTCACACTCTGCCACTATGCCGGACCTCTCGGGGAAAGAAGAGCGAGTTAATCAGTTGCCGTCTGTGGAGGTATTGGGTACTCATTCACCTCACCCTTCCCCGGTCCCGACAGGACATAGCACTGTGTACAACTACGGATCAAACCCACATCTCCCCCAGGCGGGAAACGGTGGCGCTAGCGAAATGAACCGCTCGCAGCCTCTTCTTGATGTGACTCCTCCCCCTCCTCCCCTGCCCATCGGACAGCGACCGGGGCTTGACAGACGACGCTCAAACTCAATGGGAAGACTCGAATCAACGCCCAAACCGAACGCATCCCCCAGCAACGAAAGTGTCGATGCTTTGAACGCCGAGCCCTACCTCCAACCAATGGAGGTACAGATGGTAATGCACACACTCCCACGAACACACAAGATTCCAGAGTCATTCAGTGCTCACTCGATCCACGGTGATCTCCCACAGAGACGGCAACTCCCCATCCAAGTAAGCGCCGTCAACATTTCCCAGGCTTCGATCGGGGAGACCCCGAGAAGGTTCGGTCATCGCCGCACGGCATCGAACCCGTGGGTACTGGAGGGTGGAAGCGAGCATCACTTCACCGAAAATCCTCTCCCCCCACTTCCACCGCCTCCGGTCCCCGCGAGGGATTACCAGCACCCGAGCAAGAGCCCTCCTCTGCTGGACCCACATGAGTCGTCGCTCGACTTCCCTCACCACGAGAATCGGAGGTCGGTCGTCTCTGCATCGTTCTCACCAAATCACAGCAGCGCAGCAGACCGGCCACAGTCACATTACACAGACATAGACGAGATGGACAGGCTTTCTACAATCAGTGGACCTTTCGAGGAGATTTCAGACGACCCCGACTCATCGGCCGAGACGAGCAAAATGGGAGAAATGCCGCCAAAGCAAGCAGCTGCCTCCAAGACTTCCGTCGTCAAGAAAAAGAGCTCTACTCTGAACAGTGACTATGAGAAGATAGAGGAATACATTACGATGGCTCCGTTGTCAACATTTCCTCGTCGCCCAATTTCAAACGCAGAACCATCGCCGAAACGGACCACCAGTGGCGAACGCTCGCCAAACAAGACCACCGGAGCAACGCCACAGAAGGGTAAAAAAGGCTGGACGCGGCAGAGCACAGACTCGATCATTCCAGATGCCGCGACGATTCGTAGCTCCTCGCCTCCGCTTTTCCCCAGCAGACGATTCACGATGCTCGACAATCCACACGCAGTCTCCGCCTCCCACGTCCGTCCTCTCCCTCCATCACCCTCGAAATCTGTCACCTCCCCCACGAAAAAGGTTGGTGCATCGAAGAAATTCAGCACTGGGAGCAACATCTACGAGACAATTGACGAGGAGCTTTTGAACCGCGTGCATCCTCGAAGACGTGGGTCGGCCCTTCCCAAATGGGTGCCTCCTGTGGACCCAAAACACCACGCACAATACATGGTCATCCTGAGGAAATTCTTCACAGACCCACAAGTCATCGATGCGTGGGGAAAAACAGTCTGGGAGATAATCCCAGGTGGCGATGTTTCAATGTACCCGCCTCCTTACTCTAGCCAAGATACCAAGCAGACGAGGAAGCTGGGCACAGCTGTGAAAGTACCCGAACCAACTGCATCTACGCCAAAGATCATACACCAGAGTCGACATGAACGGGCAGGTAGTCACGATCAGTACGTAATCCCTGTGTCCCTCTTTCAGCCCAACACGGAGACTCAGTCCAGTAGCACACCTGCTACCCCTGCCGTCGCACGGACAGATGGAGGAGCCTCGCAGGCGATGTTTTCTTCGCCGAGAGAACAATTTGCAGCAAAACGACCGCCGAGTCGAGAGAACCTCATTGAGATGCTGAATATGAGTGCGTTCCAGGGAGATAGCTCTGAGTCAGATTCGAGTGAGTCTGAGGACTCTGAGGATGAGGAGAGGGAAGAGGAGGAGGAGGAGGAGAGCGAGGAGGGTGGGGGAGAGGGGGAAGAGAGTGAGGAAGGGGAGGAAGGGGAAGAGGGGGGATATGGGAGGAAGTGGAGTGGAGGGGGGAAATGGGGAAGATGTGGAGCTGACAGATGGAGGGGTTCGCATTCTGCAACAAGACAGCGAAACTGAACTGGCGGAAGAGGAAGAAGACGACGACGAGCAAACAAGAATGGGAAATGAGCAGACGGTAACTGAAGACACTGCAAACAGCTCCATCATTCAGATGTCACCGGACAAAGTCTACCACGCCACAGAAGACGAACTCGATGCCATTCTCACCAATCTCAACCCAATTCTCTCTGCATTCGACTCCATCCTGGGCGACCCTGCCGACCCCACGCACCACGAAGAACCCACCGCCGAAAAACCACATCTCCAAACGAACTTTCTCCAAAATCACGACCCGGTCCTGCGAGCATCGGTCTCAACAGACAGCGACCTCGACTCCACTTCCTCGCTCGTGAAGCCCTCTTCCCTCTTCCCCAAACGTCCCCAGCCTTCGGGTGGCAGCCGCCGTGTCATGCGCTGGGTGGGCTCGTTCGAACAGCCAGAGGAGCAGGAGAGAGATTCGGTGAGGGAGAAAGGGAAGAGGGGACCTCCTCCGCCACCCGTGACAAAGAGAAAGCCGACGAGCAAGAGAGAAGTGGCAACTGACGGAATGAGCGATTCGGGAATATCAAACTGTCACTCGCAGACTTTTGACGATGGGTTTAACCCTTTGGAGACGAGTTAGCACTACTGTAAATTGTGTTGTTTTCGTTGTTTTGTTTGTGGATTATAGTGAAGCCATACACAACCAGAGTATTGTTTTTTTATTTTTGACACTGGACGATACATGTCACGTAGCTTGCTTACGACTACACAGCCAGTCACCGTAGTGCACTAGTCTAGCATAGCCACACCCTTTAACGCAGTGGCTTAGCTATCTTGAATAGAAACGCAGCGGTGTGCACAGGAAATTGACAGACTTTTGAGCATAAATAGGATTGTGATATATAAACGTGGTAGTAAACATGAAATAATTATGGCACATACACAGTACACGAAAGGTCCTCTGCTAAGACTCATTTTGTGAGGTCGAGAGGTCTTTATAGACGGACGTTGTGTCACCGAGAGCTGACGATGATAATTGTGTACCACAGTCTAGGGTGTCACATTAGCAAGAGGTGATGCAACATGGTGGTGCTCCGTATGACTGAGATGGGTTGATATTGGGTGTGTTGCTGTCTGGGAGGGTGTGAGGGGAGAAGAGGAGGAGGAGGAGGAAGAGGTGTCCGTGTTCTTACAGTTGATGCAGCGACAGAGAGAAGAGCAGTGGACACCTGACTGAGGAAGAAAATGGTGTAATGTAAAAAAGGACGCGTTATCCCGAAACGATTGGAGTGGGTAGTGCTGCTTCAATAACTTGCCGGTCATCTAACTTTTAGTAGTAGACAGTCACTTAGTCTGTGTACAATGTATTCCGCTTATGAACTATGAATACATGTCTCAACAACTTGGTAGCGAGGTAGAAAGGACAAGGCAAGGCAAACAAGTCAACCACACCCAGGACAGCTCAAGAAGAGTTGCCCTGGGTGGGATTCGAACCCACGACACTCTGCAGTCTAGGCGAGTGCTCTACCAACTGCACGTCCTTCCCTAAAGTACTTAGTAATGAGTGGACATGGGGCTATACTAGTACTACGCAAGGTGCAGCATTCTACTGCCACTTACATGGAAGCACTCGCAGTATTTCTTGAGACAGAGTGTCTTGCGACACTTGCAGCCCCTCGCAGGCCGAGCCTCGCGATGCTGGAAGGCAGTGGGATCACGCTCCTTGTACACCTGACAGTGGAAATGCATACAAGTTTGGGGAAAATTTCATTGGATCACCACGCAATAGCATTCTACTAAAGTGAATGCAGAATTACATTTCAATTTGCCAACCTTACATAGACAAAGAGCAACATGATTTGATAATTATATTATTATAATACCTATTATGGGAAATTTTTTTTTGCAACCCACTACACACTTAGTGAAAAAACGTTGAGGAATATATGGTTACCAAAATTACCTGGTGCATGGTATACTCTTGGATTGTGTGTCTGTGTGTCCGTTCACATTTTCTGCCACTAGACGCATCAAGATCGCCAAAACTACACCAACGGGTTCGGCGCTACATTTGCTTCATTTTAAAACTGGCGATTTTCGTAAAAACACAGCGTTCAAAAGTTATGGTGTGAAAAGCAAGTGAACAAGCCAATTGCAAATTAGCACGGGCTTACCTCGACAAGATGTGCTTGATCTGCGTACCTTGGAGGCACAAGGCGTCACAACGAAGGGTGGTATCGACTCACAAGCGGGAGACCACGAGTAAACGCATACTACGGCCCAGCCCATCAATTAGCGGTATCGCGCAAGCGCAGTTCGCCGAGAGTTTGCACTTCGGTGCTTTTTCATTAAAACAGTGGTGTAATGTAAACCTTGAGAGTGAGTTCTCTCAGTTGAGAGAAGGCAGGGTTGTTGCGACAGTTCCTGCAGCTACAGTCGATACCGCACCACTCTTCGTGGGAGAAACAGTCACAGTAGCTGGAGCGAGAAAGGAGATAGTGTAAGAATGGAGGTTGGGAGATTTAACTTGTCAAACAGTATCAACCAGCAATGATTTTGGTACAAAAATGTTACATCTACTTTAGCTTCCTCTGCTATTTCTGCCTGCAAACAACCGTAGCTGAGAGTGGGCACTTTAAGTACTTTTTCACCAAATAATGTCAGGGTCATAAAAGGCAGATAGGTATTTTCACGACTCACAGTTTGAGGCATTGGGAGTTCTTACAGCTGCACTGTCTCTTCTTCCCCGTGACTGAGGCTTTGGCTGCTGCTACTGCCTGAGCCTCCATTATACCAGTGGATGACAGGGAGACAGAGCTGGGGGGAGAGGGAGGGGGAGAGGAACAAGGTAGACAGAGAGCGAGAGAAGTAGAGGGAGTGTGGGAAAAGGGGGGAAAAGGAGAGTTATTGGGGAAGGGATGGGGAGTGGATGTAATGTTAAATGCTGAGTGGGGTAATACAGACCTGGTTGTAGATGTAGCAGAAGATGAAGCAGATGATGGAATCACAACTGCAGTAACCATCTTCTTAGGAGCAACAGGCTGCAATACATTAACCCACATCTCAATTCACATATGTACATAATCCTATCTACGCAAGTTGGACTGTAAACATTTTTTTCTGACTGACTTGTTGCTTTATGAAGTTCAAGTCTACTTTAGGGTGTATAATGAGTTGTAATAGTGATCAAAGCTACAGATAATGGTACTGTCGCATTTCAAGGTTAGCTTTAGGGAAAAAACTTGCATCTACAAAATGGATACACCTACAGACAGAGAGAGCAGAACGTCTCACCTGATAATGCTTATGATGGGTCTGAGCCTGAGATGAAGTAGCAGAAGAAGAAGAGGAGGGGTTTGGGGTGGAGCCTCGCTGCTGGAGGATACCGAACAGAGCCTGCAGCTCCTCTGAAGTCAACTGGATATTGACCGCTGTGTGAGAGAGAGACAAATAGCAGGGTGTGGAGAGTTTTGTCACATTGAGTTCGGGGTGGTTCGACTGTACTGAACCTTCTCTATCTACATTGTAACAGATTGTACTGCGATTGCTGGAGAAACAGATACTATGGACTGCTACACAGATGCTTCCACTTTACAAGAAAGGGCCCTACTTACGAAAGACATACAATTTGCACATGTGCATGCAAAACTGTGGGCAAATCATGTGTGCCACGCAGGAAAAAGAATTGAAGCTGGAACATCGATTTACTTACACAAAGATAGATTAATGAGGTGTAATTCTGTACCAGGGAGGAGGGGAGAAGGGTTGGCTGGGTCTGTGTTCTGTAGATGAAGGGTGGTCGTATTCTCGGAGGTCTGGTGAGGTGTGGAGGAGTGAGGTTTGGGACGAAGGGAGAGAGGGGTAGCGAGGACCTGACGGGGAGAGGGAGGAACGACTGCTGTCGGGAGAGACGCACCAAACACCCCAGCTTCTTCCAGGTCTCCCCTGACCTCACTGGGATGGAGAAGGAGAAGGAGAAAGTATATACGTCTGAAAGGAAAACTCTCTATAAAGGACACTTTGTTCTGCACTATGCTATGTATGTTGGAGGAGAAAAGACTGGAGCGACGGAGAAACAAGGGAAGAGAACATAAAGAGCAAAAATACGAAGGGAAAGGAGAAAACAATGGAGATACGAAAGGAAGGTGGGGGAAATTGTATTATGGCTAGGAATTATTGATACTACATGTACATACACTCTTTTCCTCTTTTGTCCAGCTAGCTGTCTTTCTTCTGCCGGAACTTCACAAAAGTCGGAGCAGCCGCCAGCTGGCATTTCACCGCGCGTTTCCATGGGAGCCGCCAGGTCGAGGAATTGGGTGTGCTCCAGTATTTCCACCACTTGCTCCGTCTCTATCACCTCAAGGAGCTCACACACGTCTCCCACCACCTCGTCCGACATGGTTACCACACCGCACAAGAAGAAGGGGGCTACCAACACGCAACGGCGAAGATGCACAGACTCCAATTGGTGCGCACCTATCTATTTAACGCGCACCTCTCCGCGGGAAGCCCGCACTTTTCTATCTCTGCAGCCGTTTCAAGGGTTCTGATCATCCGGGAGAGACCAGGTTACGTAGAAGGCTCTGTGGGAACCGCTCAGGGTCTAGCAGAATGGACGAAGACGCTATCAACAGCGAGGAAGAGGCTGCGGAACCAATGGAAGAAGAGGAAGAACAAGCGACTGAGAGTACTTCTGCACCGCTACAACAGCAGCAGCCCCAGGTGATGGGGTTCACGACGAGGGCCGAGCTGGGTCGTCACGCTAGCGGGCTGCAGTTGGTTCGCACAAAACTGTCCGACCTCGTACCGAGAACCAACTTGGACGATTCGTATGCGGGCGGAAAAGTCGTGAGCACGTATTCGGGCCAGCTGACGCAGGGCAGCGTTGTCGTTCTCTTGCAAGACGACCCGAGGAGCGAGCGCTACGCTGAGTGCGCCATCAGCGGAGACGTTACGCGGTTACTCCCGCGCTCTGCAGAGCTGGGCTGCAGCGAGTTGTACGTGCACGGAACTGGAGTGCGGGTGGGCGCCGCAGTAACGGACTGCAGTCAGGAGATGGAGGTAGGGATCTCAGTAGACGGGGAAGAGGGGAAGATATGGATCGTCAACAGGTTAGTGAACCATTTAGTGACCACCACTGTGCGCCTGTGATGTTTGTAAAAGACTGGTGTCCACGTTTTTAGTTACTGTTTTGATATTTGTGTCGCCATCTTGGTCAGGCCTGATGCGCATAGCCATTTTATCAAAACTTACCCATTTGTGGGAATAGGGATAAAAATTCACCCTCTTCACGGTTCCAAACCCAACCACAAAGGTGTTCTCTTTGTGTGAACAGTGGAGTTCTCTGTGATGCTGCTATAGTCAGACTTTGATCCCAGGCAAGCCTCAGTTTTTATTTTGCTCTGTATAATATGCAGGGATGCAAGAAATCCTGGTTTTCTTCCGTCACGGAGTCCGAGTGAGTTCCAGGGCAGGGGAGGCAACACGAAGAAGGCGAGACGTCGGCAGCAAATGAAAACCGGGCTAGAGAGTGGGAGGTTGAGTGGGAGGTTGCTGGCACCAACTGCGAGCAACGTCGCTCAACCCCATACGAGGTATGTATTTTTGTCAAATATGCATACATTACTGGCTCACACACACTTAAATCATTGACAACAATTTCTTCACTATTAAGTTAAGCACGATATGGAAAAAAAAACAGCAATGTAGTTTGAGAAATAGTGGTCTTGATTTCATTGTGTGACATTCACATAAGCAGCACTTTCAACTTACTTGCACTGTCGCATTTGAATGTGTTATCTAAATATCACTCTACAATGTACTGTATATACAATCCCAGTGTTAAAGTCCCAGTACCTGAACCATTGGCTGCCACTACTGACCCACCCACTGCCCGACAAGAGCCAAGAGCTCTCACGCCAGAATCCTCAACTGCTATATCCCAAGTGGCCACACACTATGCCACCGGTCCTAGTCCCCAACCCAGTCACCAACAAACAGAAAACCCCACCTCAATTCCTTCAAATGAAATTCGGTCCGTCCGTACGGCTGAAGAGGAAGAAGAGGAAGAAGATAGGGAGGAGGAGGAAAATGAAGCGGGAGATGTGTTATCATCATCGGAGGATATTTTATCCTCCAGTGATGATGAATCGCTTGGTTCTATAGGTAGCGAAGGACAAGGGCAGGGACAGGACAGAACACTGTTCCCTTACTACCAAACCAGCACGAGGCAGAACCAGAGCTACTCGTACACAAAGTTGTCGGAATTAGAAGCGGGTCTGCAAAAAGTGAACGTCTTTGGCGTGGTTACCGATTTCCAGCCGCCCTTCCAGACAAAAGGTCGCGATTTCTGCTCCATTGTCAATATCACCGACGAGAGTTTGCCCGAGAGAGAAGCACTCAAATGCACCTTTTTCCACTCGAACCAAGATCGGCTCCCTAAAGTGAAAAAGGTCGGCGATGTCGTTTGTTTCCATCGAATCAACATCAAGCTCTACCCGTCGGGTGTCCAAGGGATCGGACAGAATTTCACCAGCTGTCTGTCTTTCCCCGGACATCTAGGCTCAAAGGTCAAACCTCTTACCGGATCTGTTTCTTACACGTTCACACCCCAAGACCGAAGGCGTGTCGAAGAGTTGAGACTGTGGATAGCACGGAAATCACAGAGGGTCAACCCTTTCTTGCGGCTGCTCAAAGATATCGCAATCGACGTCGATTCATCGGATTTGGTCTGCCAGGTTTTGTCAATTTCACGGCAGGTGTCAACGTCAGGGCCTCCTAATGCTGTTCTCAGTGTCTGGGACGGAACTCAGGCAAGACACCGCAGCCTTGCTCTCGACCTGTCTACTTATGAAACCACGCAGGTTGCCGATTCTGAACTGCTGAGGTTTTCCGATCGTTACTCAGAGAGTGTAGTCCTCTACGGACGAGAACTGGTGGAGAGCCTTGCAGCTATCAAACCAGGTCGGTTTGTCTGCCTTCAGGACGTGCAGGCAAAGCTGCACTCTGACCAGTACAATTCATTCAAGGAAACTTTCAGCGCCGTCGAGTTGAGGCTGCAGCCATCCGAAAACACTACCGGTAGCAGAGAGGCAAGAGTCAGAGTCCTTTCGTCTGAGGAAATTGAGGTCTTTGAGCTCAAAAACCGACTGAGGAAATGCAGGAAAAGCCCGAGTGTACATTTCAGACCCCTCCCTCCCGACATAGTCTCCTCTGGGATCACCGACACACCCCACAGTGAGCACCAGCAACCTGTCCCGCTCAGTGCACTCGGGAAGGTCGAAGACACTCCTGCAAAGTTTCTGTCCATCGTGAAAGTTCTGGGGATCGAGCCTTGCTCCGTGGAAGGGATGGTTCAACTTCGCTGTCCCATCTGCAAAAACAAAACGGCCGTCAGGGAAAACTTGCCCAACACTGCCATCTGCACGTTATGTCCGAGGGAGAAGAGAAAAAGAAAGAGGAAAGCTCCAACTCTACAGCCCACGTACTTCTTCAAGCTGGAGCTGGCAGACGAGACGGGTCACGTGAAGGCCCATGTTAGTGGAGCTCAAGCTGCTAGGTTTCTGTCGGGGTGCCCGCCAACAGTTTTCCACAGACATCCGCAGCAGAGGATGGCTCTGCTAGAACAGCTCTACGCGCTGACCGGAGACAACGATCCTTTCGATTCCGACTCTGTCGCCTTCCCGCGGCCGTGGGTCGCTGTGTGTTTGGTCTCGATGGCCGGTGGTACCAGTACTAGCTCTTCTGGTACCAGTGGAGATGTGACTTATCACTTGTTTGATACCATACTCAAGCAAAGGGCCTAAAACCAAAGTCATTATACCTAGTAGAGTCTTTATTATACACATTTTATGTATCACACCATATGCACGTGCAGAGTGTATACAAGCCACTTATGTAGATTTACGCACGTGTTTTTCATCAAGACTATAAAAGTTCCATCAGAAAAGGCTTGTCATGTTCATGCATTTGCATGCTCAGTGCTTGCACAAAATTCAAAATGCACGAGAATTTCAGGTTGGTTGCTAAACTTGGTTTTGGTCGCCCCCCACCCGTTGTCCTCACGGTGTCATGTTGAGAAAAAAGTTTTGCAATCGCTAAAAATATGTGGGTAGATTTTTACAAACATTCAAAATTATTATACATTGCACCATGAGAAAATATGTCCACAAGTTGTCTGGTTTCAGTCTGGAATAATATCGAGGTAGGAGCTGTCTTCAGGCTCATTGGAAGTTTAGGTTTAGAAAAGAGGAATGATTTGCTCACAACGTTGTAGTAATTGGGATCATCATCAGCCGTCCATGTCGACGTTCCCACTGGTAAACTTCTGGGAGGCTCAACGGGGGGCTTAAAATTCGACCCCTTTTGTCTGTTGTCGTATGGGGGTCCTACCAGGGAGGAAGAGATGATGGGTTGAGGTGGTGGAGACTTATATTTTGGGACGTATTCAAGGTGAGGAGGTGACTCACGTGGAGCTGGTGGAGAAGGAAGAGGAGAGGTTGTGACTACATGCTGTGCGTGAAGGGGAGGAAAGGAGGAGAGCTGCTCTCTCTGTGTCCGTGGCGTCGGTCTGGGTGAACACCGGGGCTGCATCATCTGTGCAGGGGTAACAGAATCTTGCGAGGGTAACTGGTTCGTGAAACTAGGGAGACTCTTGACCGGTGGGTGCGACTGCAAAGGCGGTGGACTCAGGCTAGCTGGGTTGCGAAGAAGGTTTCGAGGTGGAAGAACAAACGTCTGCTGGGTAGGCGCAGGTTGTGTACTTCGTGAGGGGAGAGGGAGAGTTCGATCGAAGACAGTCGGGTGCTTTACGGGGAAATTTTGGTATAAGTCTTCCATGGATCGGCTGCGTTTCGTGTCTCTAATTGATTCAATCATCGTGTGGTTTACGTACTGTTGGTCGTCGGTATCGTCAGCTCCAGACAAACGCTTCATTTGTACATATTCTTCTTCTTCCGTGCTTTTGCTTCTCGGAATACCATATGTGGTTCTTGGGTTACGGACATTTGCAATGGCGATGCTAGGGGCGCCTTGTAGTTGTGACGGTAGCATGCGCGTCAGATCCAAAGGTATCCTGGGGTATGAGTAGTCGGGAGACGGAGGACTCTGACCTCTGTTAGGGTTTGAAGTGGATCTGCCGAGGGCGATGTGGTGCGGGGGTTGTCTGGCAGAAGGAGGTAGGGGGTGAGGAACTCCGGGAGGGTGAGCTGGCTCGCTCACTGGCTGGAAGGGGCGCTGGAAGGAGGAGGGTGGGAGTGACTGCATCGGAGACTGATTAAACTGAGCCGGGGACAGATTAAACTGAGCCGGAGACTGATTAAACTGAGCCGGAGACTGATTAAACTGAGCCGGAGGCTGATTAAACTGAGCCGGAGACAGATTAAACTGAGCCGGAGACTGATTGAACTGAGCCGGGGACAGATTAAACTGAGCCGGAGACTGATTGAACTGAGTTGGGAAAGGATTCCAGCCACTGGCGAGTGGTTGTTGCCCGGCATGTCTCGCTATAGTTGGAAAAGGTGAAGAGGGAAGTGGATAAGTAGGGGCTGGAAGTGATCGCACGGATGCTGCAGAGAGAGGGTGAACTGAGGCTGATGGTGAAGGTCTGGGGAACTGGTCTTCGTTCAGGTAGTCCATGTTATCGGCAGACAAGACGTCGTGACTCTGGGAGCGCTGTCTCTCCGAAGTGTGAAAAGGCGAGTTGGGGGTACCCGGCATGAGGTTTGAAGGGAGACCGGGAGCCCCGAGTAACTGTGGCAAGCGGCTGGAATCAAACGATTGTGAAGTGGGGAACATGACGTCGACAATGTCGTAGTCTTCGAGAGTGTGCTCCGGTGGCGGGCTGTGTGGTAGTACAAATGGTGCTTCTGGGAGTGGCCTTGTGCGCATATTGAGAAAAGTTGCCCTCGGCTCTCTTGGGAGTGACATGTGTACTACAGGAGGCCTAGTACTACTGGAGGTGTCACTCGGTGCACGTCTGACAGGTTTAAGACGCGTGCCTTGTCTGTCAGACTGTGAGTAGTTCAGTCCCTTCTTTTTCTGTGGCTCTTTCGTTTCTTTTGGTGGTGACCGCGCCTTCACGGGGGATTTTGGCTCACTGTGCACTTTCTTTGATTTCTCTCCCTTGAGCTTCCAGGCATCGTAGAACCTTCTCTTCCTCTTTGGGGACTTGACGGAATCTTTGTTCTTATCAGCCGTTCCGTTGTCTTTGTTGGTTGACTCTACTACCTTGACTGGCGAAGTATTAGGCGATTGCATACTCTCTTTGTTTGTGTTAGACTGCTTGGTAGCCTCTTCCTTGGATTTCCCTTTGTCCAGTACCACCAGGTGGTAGTTTTTCGTTCGCAGTGGTATGGGTGGTGGGGGAGATGTTGTTTCGCGGTCTCCCGCTGAAATCATCTCTTTCTCCTCTTTCTTCTCCGGCTCTCGCTCCCCGTCGGTTTCGTAGTCAGAAGGAACGTACTCGTCTCCGGATGAGAAGTCTTCGTTTTCTGTGGCTGATTTTGAGTCGCGTGGGGGTAGTGGAGGCGATTCTCCCGGGACGGGAGGTATCGAAATCTTGAGCTTTTTGTCGATCGAGGAGCTAATGTCTCGAACGGAGTTGGGTGGTGAGGAGGGAGTAGTGTTGGAGATCCTCATTCGGTGTGTGGGAGGGGATGTAGGAGGAGGGTATGGGGAAGGTGAGGTGGCCTGTTTGTCGTTCACTGGTTTTTCGACTGTCGACTGTCTCTTTGGCTTGGGTTTTCGAGGTGGTGGAGCGGGTTTGGTTTTTGTTGCCCCCGCCGATGGCTTTGGTGCAGGCCGTGGTTTGACTTTGTCACCAGTAGTTGTCGCCGCCTTGGAGGGTGACTTGTTGGTGTCAACTTGAGGGTGGGTGTTCTTGTCGGGAAGGTGGGGATGAGAGGTTGAGACGTTGTCTCTGGCAGGAAATGTTTCATCCCCAGCTTGATGCTCAGCCAGTGTCTGGTTGCCAGATTCGTCATCTTTAGGTTCCGTGGATGTGTTCTGATAGAGGATCTCCTCCCTTTCTGCCATATCCACATCTTTTGTCTCATTGCCCAATGGGTCGTCCCAAGTTTCTCTAATAGTGTTTTGATAGAGCATCTCACCTGTCTCTATAGCCATTGCCCCGTTGTCCAATGGTTTATCGTCGGGTTCAGCAGTCGTATTCTGATACAGGATCTCAGCAGTAACTGTCCCATTGCCAGATGGGCCATGTTTCGATCCCGTGGCTGCATTTGAATAGACGATTTCGTGACTACCTTCAGCCACTGTCCCACTGTCCGATGGGCCATCCCGCGATGTTGCAGCAGTGTCTTCGTAGAGGGCCTCCTCACTACTTGCAGTCACCAAAACCCCATCACTAGATGGGGCATCCTGATTCCCACCTGCTACCCCGTCCTGCGATTGGTTACCAGCTTCCATGCTACTGACTGTACTCGGAAGAGTAGGTGGACGAGACTGTGTGTCTGCGGAAGGCGAACTTTGTCCACTCCCACTTTGTGCGTTTAGCCCCGGCTCGTTATCAGCACTTCCCGTGACAACAGCATTACATGATTCAAGGGGCGGTATTGGGAGGGGTAGGGCGGAGTCAGGGCTGGGGAGGATGTGGCTTCCGTTCTTCGTATACCCATGCATGTTAATGTAGTCCAGTCCATCATCGCTGTCGAAACTGAAATATTGAGGGAAAAAGAAACAACACAAACACTGATAAACGCTCTTTCACAGTCATGGAATACACCCCACCATGCATAAAAACACTCAGTATTTTGTATACTAGGAATGCGCACGCGCATATTTTGCCTCGCGCCTGCCAGCCAATGCGTAAACAGTCCGACTGAGGCCACTCGTGCGTGCGCTCTACTGAAGCCAGACTTCCTACGAATCTGTGCAGCCATACGAATGACGGAAGTTGACATTCCTAAGCGTGACTAATTGACATTCTTAAGCGTGACCGACACGTACGTACGTATGCATATCGCGAGAATACAACCCGGATTAGTTGCCTCACACTAATGCACTCGGCAACTAGTGCAGATGAAAATCTTGCTGGAACAAGAACAACACATTAATGATTAGCCAACATTTTCGATGCGGCTGTTTAGGCTCTACAATGTCCACAGGCTAAAAAACTTCGTGAATCACTTAAAAGAGGAAAAATATCATGCACGCAGCAGTTGGCATACTGCACTAAACTATGAGTTTAACCAACTCGTTTGTGGAGAAATTGTTTAGTTGTGCGATAAACAGAGCGGTGTCAGTGAGAGCTAAAAGACTGACCTCCCAATACTGTGGGCATCAGAAGTTCCTGCTCCTTGGGCGGCGCCCTCGACAGACGAGGTCCCCAAACTAGCAGCCGAGGCGACAGACAACTGCCTTTCTGGTTGACCAGCGCCGGAGGTAGCCATCTTGGGTTTGACTGCCGGGGAGCTGGTCGTGCTGCTACCTTCGTCGCTGGATAAGCTGGGATAGTGGTGGACTCGGCGAGGCTGTAGGGAGGGAAGACACACTTTTGTAGTCGATAGCACATGGAGTCTACTTTACACCAAAGATTACTATATACAACCCACATAGAAAGTAACGCTGTGAAGTGGGTGTGTAGAAGTTGAGCTTTTTAGATCACTGATTGAAGCTAAGAAATTTGTCGGGGAAAGGCAGGGGAGAGGGGTGTGGTCCCTGTCCCAGCTGAAAACATGTACTATATACAGTCAAACGGCATGTATTGTTTCTGATAGTGGGTGGAGCACTCTGCCATGAAGAGTCCTACGCTAGAGGCACCTTCTGAAAACAGGTGTTGTCCAGGGTTTCCTTACTTGTTCATTGCCTTGTATTTACACCT